TTTAATTTGTTAGTAACTGTTTATAGTATTCCTTTATGACCATTTCTTTTCTGTATGTTTAGAATATACTCTCTTTAAAGATTTTAGTACTTTGAATCATCTTTTTTTTTCTTGATTTGTCTAGCTAAAGGTTAACACATTTTACTGATCTTTTCAACAAAGCAATTTTTGCTATATTGATATTTATATTCTTAAATTCTCTTTTCCATTTATTTTTTCTTCCTTCTGTTGCTTTGTTTTTATTTTACTCTTCTTTTCATGGTTTTGACATGTGAAAGGTAGGTTATTGACTTGAGATATTTCTTATTTTGCAATGTTAGCAGTTACAGCTACACATTTTTCTCTGATAAGTTCTTTTGCTCCATTCCATAAGGTTTAATATGTTGTTTTCAGTTTCATTCATGACAACATTATTTTTCTTGTGATTTCTCCTTTCACCCAATTGTTGTTTATATAGATGAGTTGCTTCTTATAGCTTTCAAGATTATCTCCTTGGTCTTCCATAGAATGATTATGGCACATCTAAGTGTTGATTCCTTTGAGATCACCCTACTTGATGTCTGTTGATCTACTAGAACGTGCAAATTAATATTTCCATCAAATTTGTGAATTTTTTGGCTATTGTCTATACAAATACTTCCCTGCCACTCTCTGGAGTTCCCACTCTGATGATGTCCCACAGCTTCAAGAAGCACTGTTCATATATCTTCATTATTTATTCTTTCTGTTCCTCAGTCTGGATAATCTCCATTGACTTACATCCAAGTTCATTGATTCTTTCTTCTGCTAAGAACCACTGCTGAGCCCCTCTAAGTAAAGTTTTCTTGTCTTTTTTTTTTTTTTTTTAAAGATTTACTTATTTGAAAGGAAGGGCATCTGAGACAGAGAGAGAGGGATCTTCCACCTGCTGGCCACTCCACAGATGGCTGCCACAGCCAGGGCTGGGTCAGGCCAAAGCCAGGAGCCTGAAACTCCATCTCGTGTTCTCACTTGGGTGGTGGGGGCCCAGGTACTTGAACCATCATCCTCTGTCTTCCTAGGTACATTAGCAGGAAGCTGAATCAGATATAGATCAGCTAGGACTCAATACTGCATCCAATCTGGGATGCAAGCATTGCAAGTGATGGCTTAGCCTGCTTTGCTACAATGCCAATCCAGTATTTTTTTAAGCTTTTAAACTTCAGAATTTCCATTTTTTTCTTATATTCTGTTTCTTCACGGATATTCTGTGTTTCCTGATATATTCTCAATTTTCTTTAGGTCATTAAACATGGTTTCCCTAAGTTCTCCACTTTTGTATTTTATTATTTTTTTAAACATTGATTTTATTTTATTTGAAAGGCAGAGTTACAGAGTGAGGGGGTGGGACAGAGAGAGAGAGCCTAGCACAGCTAGCTCACTCCCCAGATGACTGCAACGGCCTGAGCTTGACCAAGCTGCAGCCAGGAGCCAGGAACTCCATCTGGGTCTCTCACATGTGTGGTAGAGACCCAAGCACTTAGGTCATCTCTGGCTGCTCCCCTAGGTGCACTAGCAGGGAGCTGGATCTGGAATGGAGCAGTCAGAACTCAAACTTCCTCTCACATGGGATGCCAGCATCGCAGGTGGAGGCCCAACATGCTGCAGCGCATGCCAGCCCCTCAATAGTGCTTTAAACATGTTTATAACAGCTGTTCTAAAATCTTTGCCTAATAATCCCAATGACTGGACTTTCTCAAGGAGACTTTCTATTGACTGCTTCCTTCTTTTTTTGAATTTTATTTATTTTATTTTATTTTCAACTGCTTTTTTTCCTGGGTGTGGGACATACTTCCTTTGTCTTCAGGTCTCATCATTTCCTCTTGCAAGGCAGACATTTTTAACAATACGATGTGGCAACGCTGGAAACCATTTCCCTCTTTCAACCCAGATTTACCTGTCTCTGTGTCATCCCTGCTGTTTGTTTGACTAGTAACTTTCCAGAACTGATTTTCTAAAGTCCTCATCCCTTGTTCTGTGTTCACATTTAAATTCTTACTCACTCAGGTTTATAGTCAGCTAACGAGATTTCCGTAAATAATATAAACCAGAAAGTTTCTTGGCTTTGCCAAAGGGCTCTGTGTACATGTTGGGGAATTCCTTCACGACTCTGGTTGATATCTGTGCCTTGGCCTCCAATTCCTGTTTGTGCAGTCTCAAGGACAGATTAGGAAAGGAACTGAAGCTATATCAGGCCGTTTCTGGTCAGGTGCACAGCTTACACATATACATGGATTTATTCATTCATTCATTCATTCATTTTAGATATCAGAGTGACTTTTCAACCATTTTTAAAAATTTTTTTAAAGATTTTATTTATTTTTATTTGAGAAGTAGAGTTACAGACAGTGAGAGGAAGAGAAAGGTCTTCCTTCTATTGGTTCACTCCCCAAATGACTGCAACGGCTGGAGCTGCGCCAATCTGAAGCCAGGAGCTTCTTCCCGGTCTCCCAAGTGGGTGCAGGGGCCCAAGGCCTTGGGCCTTCTTCTACTGCTCTCCCAGGCGATAGCAGAGAGCTGGATTGGAAGAGGAGCAGCCTGGACTAGAACCAGAGCCCATATGGGATGCCGGTGCCACAGGTGGATGATTAACTTACTGCACCACGACGCCGGCCCCAGACAGTTTTAAGGATTCCTATAGACTTCTTTATTCATCAGATTTTTCTTCCCAAGGATTTTGGTCAGTCTCTAGTTTTCTGCACTATTACCACTGCCTCAGGCATCTGCAATTTTAAAACAGTTGTTGCTGATCATTTTCAAACAGTCTGTGGGGAGAACAACTGTTCTTTCAGTCTGGTCCAATAATACAAGCCTTGTGAGTGGATATCTCCACAGAGCTGCTAGAAAGCTCAAGTATTGGCATTTTCTGTAAATACAGATTTTTTTAAAAAATTATTTGTTTGAGGTGTAGAGTTAGAGAGAGAGATCTTCCATCTACTGGTTCACCCCCCTAAATGGCAACAACCAGAAACCAGGGGCCAGGAGTTTCTTCCGGGTCTCCCACGGGGATGCAAAGACCCAAGCACTTGGGCCATCTTCTACTAGGCCATAAAAGAGAGCTGGATTGGAAGAAGAGCAGCCAGGACACAACCTAGCACCCACATGGGATGCCGGCACGGAGATTTAATCTACTATGCCACAGCGCTGGCCCCTGTGAATATAGATTTTAAAAGAGGAAATTTCACATATTAAACTACTTTTTTTCTTATATTTTGAATATATTCAACAACATTTGTAAAAAGTATTTTCTCTATTGTTACATAAGTATCTGAATAATACCAATTTAGCCTCTTGGTCTCAAGGTTTAAAATATTTACTATCTACCCCTTCATAGGAAAAAAAAAAGAACAGAAGTTGTCAACCTTGTTCTAGATAGTTCAGTATTACATCGCATAGAAACAATAAATTTACAATAATTTGGCGAAGGTATTCATTCTCATCTCAAACTATGACTCAATGTTTTGAGTTTAGATGAAAAGGTGTGTTGAGAGAAGGCAAAAGTAGAGTTGAATAAAGAGCATTCACACAAAGAACAGTAGATTCTCAAGTATCTAATCTCAATTTCCCATTGAAACCAAAAAATAATGTCAAAGATAAAAGAAATCGAGGAGTCAAACAAAATGATCATTAAGATGGAAAAACTGTGGTGTGGTCGCAGTTAGATTTTGCCCCAGGGTTCTGAAAGAAAGAGTGACAGTTCTTCTGGGACCTTCAGATGGGAAAGGCTGGGAGAGGTCATGGAGCATGCCATCTCTTTACCATTTCACAGAGTGACAACAGCTCGGACCCAACTGGGAATCTATTTCCATGGAGGTTTTGATATGGAAAAGAGATGATAAGAAATCATTTTACTTGTAAAATATTCAAGAAACCAATCACCAGGAAGGCAGATATTTATATTGAGATAGTTCTATACAGTTCTATGCCAGTATCACGCACTCTCTGTAAACCAGAGTGGCTTACCAGAACACCTTGACAATGAGCAAGGTTAGACCTTTGATTAGGGTCTCCAGGCCAGTAAAGAGGGAAATGCATGCACTTCTGCTGGACCAAGGGGTAGCCTTGTCCCTTCTGTGAGACACAGCAAGAAGAATCCAGGTCAAAATGCAGGTACAGCACATGCAGTGGTCGCATGGTACAGCCAGGTTAGACACATGAAGGAGATTTGCTTCCAGATCTCGTGGGTTCAATGGTGATTGTTTAATGGTGACTTTTAAATTCTAGGAAAACTTCCCAACCTCTCTGAGTGAGTGAGTGAGTGAGTGTGTGAGTGTGTGTGTGTGTGTCGACTTCAAACTACAGGTGAACATCACAGGAGGAATATTCTTCTCCTTTGCCCCCTTTGGGCTCAGTCACCTTGAGTTGGGAGTGCAGAGCCAGCGAGGAGTCCCCCTGCATCCTGAGCTAACTCTCCCTACAGCTCCCCTCCTCAGCGCGGCAGAGCCCCGCTCTTACCTTGCATCCCTGGTGACAGCCTAACTTTAGCCACATCTTCTTGTGGCAGAACTCCAATCACCACTCTCCCCCGCCGCCCACCAGGGACCCCTCATTCTAACTTTTCGTCTTTAATCAAGACACGCCACTTTTTAAAACTCACCGCCGTATAACGCACGGAGCAGAAGGAGGGCGCTGGGTCGTGAGTGATCCCAGGTGAGCTCTATCTCCACACTCCGCATTGCTTCCCGACAGGTCACTGGTGCTACGTAAAAGGCTAGAACTCTCAGGACGCCTTTCTTCAGCAGGCTCCCGCCACTGATGGCTTCCAGATGCGAGGACATTTTAAAAGGCTTGTGGCCCTCAACACCACATCATTAGATCTTTCCAATGTTTCCAAAAAATCCTTAATCACTAGCCCACTGTTGCTGTCTCCATTTCACCATTCAGCCACTGGGATCTCCGGGCGGGCGGGGGAGGGGGGGGGCTCAGAGATATGGTTCACAGGACGTTGAAAATAACTTCCTATTTCTGGGGGAAAATCCATAATAGCTTCCACGTACCCTGGAATTAGCTTTACTCCCTCTGCACAATTTCTACCTTTGGATTAGATCCCCGCCCACCCCACCACTCTCTCCCATACACAAAAACACAGATGCACCCCAGCACCAGCACCATGTCCAAGGGTGCTATTTTTTTCTAGTTCTGATTCATTTGGGGTAGTGGCGGGGGGTGGATATTATTGCTAGCAATTTTCCAGGCAAGCCTCACACTCCAGTGCATAAGGAAAGAATTTACGTCATGTTGACCTCTGACCTGGCTCAATCCCAGAAAGCCTCGGGAAGTGTGTCAATACCATGAACAGTGAGGTCAGCCTCAGATATCTCACAGCCATACTCACCTACAGAGAAAAAGGAAAAAAAAAAATCTTTTGCCAGAGATTTGCTTTCCTTTCAAGAATGCATTTCAGGATTGGAAGTGTCAGAGTACCTGTCTTAATTGTTCATTTCCTAGCCTACTGGACAAAGAAAAAAAAATCTGTGGCGAGACGTATTTGTTCGTTAGACCAACCTGTATGTTTGCTAAGCCATTTGATATTTAGCAAGTGTTGGGGAGTGTGGGAAAGAGCACCTCAAAGCACATCCTTATGCCGAACAGATTGGCGGGGGAAATTGCTCCCAGCAGATGTACAACTTGCCCTGAGCCCCAGGCTCTCCGCCCAGGGCGCAGACGCTGGCCTTTATTAACCGTACCTGCCGCCCTGGGTCATGTCTCATTTGTCCTCACACTGTAGAAAATCCCAAATGCAAGGTCCAGAAAACATAAAGGGATGTAAATGAGGGTCCATCTGGGGAATGGGTGAAAAAGAGGGAAATTGTCTTTTTATCTTTCTCCTTGATCTTCTGTCTGCTAACAATTTAAGCTCTGAGAAACCTACACGCATGTTTTCACAGAAAATGCTCTGCCGAAAAGCTGTCAGTTTGTACTTATCAGAAACAAAGCAAAGCTTAACAGAGACACGTTCCAATGTGAGCTAAGGCGTGGGTTTATCTAATAGAAACACCATCCTGTTCTTGGCTTCACCTGGGCTGGGGCCACTCTGACCTTGGGTCTAACTTCTAAGGAACAAAGTACAAAAAAAAGTCTTTGTGGAGACTTGAAATTATAAACATTGAAAACAGAGGCCACGGATTTGATGGAATCCATCTGTAATGCAGTGTTTAAAAGGCAAACAGAACACTGTTCGCAGCTGATTTGGTTTACGTTAGAGCACAGTTTACATTTTCCTATGCAGACTCAAATAAGATTACCCTGAATCTAAGGATACTCTGAATTTTCACACACCTCTGTTTTAAAACATCATTTGCAGATGGAATTTTTAATTCACACTTTGCTATGCAATACAATCTTTGCCATCAAAATTTACAGTTTCTTGATGGTCTCATGATGACTCTGCATATGCAAAAAAATCAGGAGAGTCCAGGAACCACGAGGGAGGTTGGAAAATAAAATTTACTGGCCGGTGCCACGGTTCAAAAGGCTAATCCTCCGCCTGCGGGATTCTGTCCCGGTTGCCCCTCTTCCTGTCCAGCTCTCTGCTATGGTCTGGGAGTGCAGTGGAGGATGGCCCAAGTCCTTGGGCCCTGCACCTGCATGGGAGACTGGGAGAAGCACCTGGCTCCTGCCACCGGATCGGCACGGTGTGCTGGCTGCGGCAGCCATTGGGGGGGTGAACCAATGGAAGGAAGACCTTTCTCTCTCTCTCTCTCACTGTCCACTCTGCCTGTCAAAAAAAAAAAAAAAATTACCAAAGCTCTGTTGTCCTCAAACACTCAGGGCTACGGCCTCTCTGCCACTGACCATGAGCAAAACCCACTACTAATTGAGCAGAAGGTCCTGTGGGCATAGCATTTTCCAGTGCTCTCCTCTTTCTTCCACCCTCTTCCTCCTGCCCTGGAAGCTTTTCAAATTGGCAGGGAGAAGTATCCCCATTTTGGCACAAAAGCAGCCAGTTTTTAGCCCTCAGAATCTCATGTCCCCGGAAACCCCGATCCCAAACAAGCCAGAACAATGGGTCACTGTGGCTGGCAGGTTGCACATTGCTTATTTCCTTGTCCCACATGGATACCCAAGGTTTTTCCAGATGGCAACCAAGAGGGCATGGTGCTTTAGAGGTAACCTGGCTGCTGTCCACATCCAAACTGCAAAGTCATAGAATGTGGAATTAAAACATGTTTATTTTGGTGGAAAAAAATGTTTAGAAATCCAGGGGCTGGAGGTGTGGCAGAGTGGGTGAAGCCACTGTCTGCGATGCCAGCATCCCATACAGGCACTGCTTCATGTCCCAGTTGCACCACTTCTGATCCAGCTCCCTAAGGGTTAAGAAAGCAGCAGAGGATAGTCCAAGTACTTGGGCCCCACACCTATGTGGGAGATTCAGATGAAGCTCCTGGCTCCTGGCTTTAGCCTGGCTCAGCCCCGGTCATTGTGGCCATTTGAGGAGTGAACCAGCGGATAGAAGCTCGCTCCCTCACGCTTGTTCTCTCTCTCTCTCTCTCTCTCTCTCTCCCTTTCTGACTCTGCATTTCAAATAAATAAATAAATCTCTTTTTTTGACAGGCAGAATTAGACAATGAGAGAGAGAGACAGAGAGAAAGGTCTTCCTTCCGTTGGTTCACCCCTCAAATGGTCGCTATGGCTGGCGCACCGTGCTGATCCGAAGCCAGGAGCCAGGTGCTTCCTCCTGGTCTCCCATGTGAGTGCAGGGCCCAAGGACTTGGGCCATCCTCCACTGCCTTCCCGGGCCACAGCAGAGAGCTAGATTGGAAGAGGAGCAACTGGGACAGAATCCGGTGCCCCAACCGGGACTAGAACCCGGGGTGCCGGCGCCGCAGGCGGAGGATTAGCCAAGTGAGCCGCGGTGCTGGCCTAAATAAATAAATCTTAAAAAAAAATTACACATGGATTTCAAAAAAATTTGCACCAAAATAAATTTATCTTTTCATTCTCCTTTTCCACAAAGTTTTTCTTTGAAGATTTTATTTATTATTTATTTGAAATGCAGAGTTAAAATGAGAGAAGGAGAGCAGAGATAGAGATAGAGAGATAGAGTTAGAGAAAGAGAGAGAGAGAGAGAGAGAGAGAGAGAGAGAGAGATCTTCCATCTGCTGGTTCTAACAAACAGCATTGGGCCAGACCAAAGCCAGGAGCCAAAGTTTCTTCCAGGTCTCCCAGGTGGCTGGCAGGGTCCTAAGTACTTGGGCCATCTTCCGCTGTTTTCCCAGGCACGTTAGCAGGGAGCTGGATAGAAAGTGGAGCATCTGGGTTACAAGCTGGCACTCATGTGGGATGCCAGTGTCGCAGGTGGCGGTTTTACCCACTCTGTCACAACACCACCTCCCTCCCCAACGTTTTGCAATAGCTTCATACACCATGTCCCAAGAGATATGATGGTAGGCTTTCTCCATCTTACCCAGTAAAGGAGAATCTTCAGAGATGTCTGGTGAAGCTGACGCATGGCAGCACAGAGCCTGGTGCCCGCTTCCCACTCCTGGTAACACGGGTAGAGGCCAGAGGCCTTTCCAACAGGCAAAGGGCACCGTGCCCTCTTCCTCCAAGATTCTTCCATGGCCACTTGGCCCTGAATATTTCTTGGAGATCACAGGATCTTTCTCAGCTTGCTCAGATGCTGGTTCCTGGAGGAAAAAATATTATATAACGGCGTCTGCTTTATTAAACTTTAAGTTTCTCTACAAGGTAAAAATAAAGCCTTGTAATGAAAAAAATGACAAGCAGATTAAACCCAGAAAATGATGTCATGATGTGGCCAGGAAGATTAGACTCAGATTCTAATATCTGACTGTGGTATATGTGCAGGCTTACAGGTGTGTGTATGTGAGTGTGTGAGTGTGTGAGTGTGTGTGTGTGTGAGAGAGAGAGAGAGAGAGAGAAAGAGAGAGAGAAATATCATGGAGCAGGAAAGAGTGGGAGGCCCTGATACACAATCCACCCTTATACACCCAAGTTAGGTGATTTTTGCTTGTCTCCATATCACAATAAGTGGTTGTCAAAAGAGACAATAAATATTTTCAACACAATTATGAGCTGTAAAGCCTTATTATTCTATACAAAATCAATGGAGAGAAGGCAGCTGTTGCCTTCAAAATACAAAATTCTCAGCACCATTGAAGGCTTCCTAGGCTTGAAGAGTTCCCGTCCACCTTTTGGACACTTTTATGAGATTGCTGCAGTGGGTTTTCCAAAGACTGAACCAAGCAGGTCACTGAAACTCCTGGACAAACACATCCTCCTCTCCTGCCCAAAACTTGGTCAGAAACTTGGCCTTCTCCTCGTGCCAAGATTTTATGAAACTTGTTATTTTTGTGTAACTCATGTCCTGAAGCAAAAAATAAAAAATGAAAGTATTAATAGCTCTATATTCAGGACAGAAAACTCTCTGCTCAGAATTTACAAGCTTCCTGTGGAGTTTTAAGGAGATTTCTGGAGGTCCGAAACCAGGATTTATGAACACAACTGAAAACGAGGTCCTTAAAAGCAACAAAAGGAACTGCGGATGCTGAATAGACTTTCTAACAGGCACTGGGAGTAGTAAAGGGTCTCATCCATTGGCAGGTGATCTTCAAGGATTATCTGAGTCAACTCTGGGAAACCATGCTCTGACCTGGTCCCGTGAAACCTACTCTGCCCTCTTAGTTTTCCTGCATGGTTGGCTTTCTCAGGTGCCACCATGGGAAAAGACACGCAGCCCATCGCTTGCATTTTCCTAAGTGATAGGCTTTAGGCAGGCTGAGTTGCTATGAGCAAGGAAGAACAAATGTTCATTCAGTATTGTTCCAGAAAACAGGGAAGAGAGAGCGTGCCTGCCTAGCTGGGACAAGTTCAACCGTGTGCTCACAAGACATTGGCTGCACACACTCTGAAGCAGCTCAAACCAAAGCAGTCATCAGAAAAGAAAGCTGGAGACACTGCAATCCACAAATGGACTAGCTGACAAAGCTCTTTTCATTTGGCCTGTTCATTTCTAAAGATGGAAGCTGGACACCTGGCCCTGAGGACATTTCAAGGTCCAATACCGGCTGGATGCTCAGGCAGAAGTACCACACGGTTGCCTGGGCAGGAAGCCGCTTGTCTTGTAACCAGGGAACAACTTCACCTTCATCCCCAGCATGTTCTGCTCTGGACCAGCCCGGAAAACTCCCACACACTCCTTGCCAGCCTCCTACCCATAGCCAACACATCCAAGAGACCCGTGGTCAGGGTATGGCTTTTCTTTTTCAACCTGGATGGTGCTGCATGGCTCCTTTTCCTCCAACAGCATCAGCCTTGATGTTCTATTCCTTGAGTCCTCGATCTAGGGCTGCTAGCGCTGAACCTTCTCACAGATGATTTCTTAGTCTCTTTGGGAAGGTATATTTCTGCAGGGAGCGTGTCATTCGCAAAGCATATGGAAGCAGGGAGCTCGTCAAGGGGTGATCTAAATTGCATGAGGTTTCGCTTTGGCAAGGACACCAGATGGATGCCTTTATGATGAAGTGGGTCTCCCCCAGCCTTCTCTTTCATGCAGGTCTCCAACAGGTGTTTCCTCTAAGGCATAGCTGTTTTCCATAACATCAGAATGAAGAAAGATGTTGTCTGTGACAGCTTGTATACATAGATCATGCTTTCATTATGATACAAGAGTGTACAGTGATTGATTTGCTATTCGGAGTCAAGTGATGAAAATGTGCTTGAGAGATGATCACCTTCCAGTTGCCAAAGGGGCACTCAATTATCACACACCAAGGACTCTTCATTCTTCTTGGGGGGAGGGGAGGGTGGAGAAGGAGCAGGAGTGGGGGGAACATGCAGAAGGAAGTGGCAGGAAGGGGAGGAGGAGCAGTAGCTGTGGCCTGGGTGCTGAGGGAGGAGAGCAGGAGGCCACCCCCTTGAAGCCAGACAGCAATTTCCCAATGATTTTCAAACTGTCCACAAAAGACAATCACCACCAACTTTGGGTTCATAGTATTAACATCAGTTCTGTGGGACCGATGTCTAGGAAGCTACTTACTTATGGAGACAAACAGGGTTCTATGAACAAACAAAACAGCCAGGTCCCCAGATCCTGATAAAGTCGAAACCATGCTCCAACTGGGGGTGTGCACCCTGTTGAGCCCCATCCCCTGGGCTTGGCACACAGCCATTACCTTGGTCCTGACTGGTGCCGTTGAGAGCCAGGGGTACTCTAGAATTCGGGGTTGGGACTCATGATTAATGGGTACTTAAAATACCCTGTGGCATGTTAATCAGCGTGAACAAGGCATTTCGGTCAAGCTGACCTCAAGGCGGATGTTACAACATCTTGCAGCTAGTTAAAGGACTAGAATCCACTAAATCCCTTAAATTTATAGGCAGGTCGTGAGTGCAGAAGATAAAGGATTCTATCAAGGCCTGGGCCCTTGCTGGGAGGAAATCACCTTCTTGGCTTTTCCAAGTCCTTCTCCACCTACCCTGGCTTCTCTGCCTCCGTCCTCTCTGACCCATTAGTTTAGGTCCGACACTTGCACCTTACTTTGAGTCATTTCTTTCTTCTGAAAAAAATACGACATCAAGATAGCCACGTAGAAGTGAGGTTGACTGAGGAAATCAACATTGCTCATCTCTGTGTAGGAATGAGTCTTCAGATCAGGTGTTGAGTAACAAGGTGTTTTAACTCATGGGGGGAACCCCTGATCTTTCAACATGAAGAGTAATAGGATGTATTTCTCCCAGGGGAGAGCTGTCATGAGCTGCCAAGGCTGAATACGCATGAAGGGAGACATAGCACAAGATGCTCCTAAAAGAGTTCTGGGAGATAGTGACACATATTTTAAAATATGTAAACAAATACAATAAGCAAGCATATAGGCAAATAAGTAAAGCTTTTGTGGCCAGATACATTTCTGGCACACTGGATTGTACAATTCTTAAAAGATGCCTTGATTGCAAGACTTTTCAGAACCTTTCATGCCCTAAAGCACTGTGTGAACCTCCACATGGAGCCATTTCCCCCACAACTTTATTGGACTAAAGAAAACATTTCCTCAGGACTTCTCCAGTTACTAATATGCCTTGGAAGATGTTTGTTGGGGGAAAGGTTAGAAGGTACATTTATTCTATGGCAATCTCCATGAAATCTTGGCAGCTTAGCACCATGAAGGTTTGTTTCTCGTTCACGCTACACGGCACAGGTCAAACAGGCACAGAAGCATGCAGGTACCCAGGCTGGGAGACAGGCTGAGGAGTCACAGGGGGCCCCTCTTTGCCTCCACCAGCACTGGAATCATATTTCACTGAACCAAATTGGTCACGTGGCTCCATCTAATTATCCGTTTAGTCAGGAAGGAAAGAACTGGCTATCGTGAGAACTGCTAACCTCAACTTCAGCATTATATTGAACTGCTGGCTTTACAATTTGTTAGCTCTTTGACTTGTATCATTAAAAGTCTCTGGCAGAGACAAATGCTCACCCAGTATTTCAATTGCTTCCCATGTTCCCCAACCTTCTTAAAGTTAGCAGGAGCCACACAACTAGCTCCGCCCAATGAGATATGAGCAGCAATGCTATATGTCACTTTGAGCCAATGGCAATTCAACGTCTGGGCTTGATTGTCCAGTTGCTCTCTCAACCCCACCTAAAGACATAGGAGGACACCTGGCTCAGGTGTTATGGCCAGAAGATGGTAGAAGCACCAGGTGGTGTGTGCAGTTGATGCTTGTTCACCCACGTGAAATACAAGGGGAATTCAAAAAGTTCATGGAAAAAAGTGGAATTGAAAGATAAGTTTATTTTGGATCAAACAAATTTAGAAATCCATGCATAGTTTTTTTCATAATACGCATTTTCCATGAACTCTTTGAAGATCCCTGAATACAGTGTGGGTGAGCTGCGTTAGACACCCTGAGATTCTGCAGTTGCTTTGGCCACCTCCGCCTGGATTCTCTGCATGTATCTATGACATTTCTAATCCTGAACTTTCTCTGATTCTGAGGGACCTCCCATGTTGCCCCCAAATCAAACGTGCATTCCTTAGGATTTGCACGACTTTTTTTTTTTGAAAGATCATCCAATGATTTTTCGTGATTGACTATATTGCAAAACAGCCTTGTGCCTAACAGCAGTGTGGGGTGACCACATGGAGGGCTTTGCCAAGACCTAGATGAGGATTGGAGCAAAGGCTATGCAAACGCAGGTCCGTGATGGGAGCTGTGAAGAATGCAAAGTGCATTTAGTAAGTAAGGATGTTCCAACAGGGACTCCAAGGCAAAGCATATGTAAGGAAGAAGTGTGTGTGTGTGAGGTGGGGGGATAGGCTAAGTACAGAGATGTCATCCATGATTACTCTCTCACTGCCTGATCTGTTCTCTATGGAGGTGTCCAAAACTTGCTCACGATTTCCACCCTAGAATCCCACCAGCAGCAAAGTTAAGAGCAGACATAAGTACACCCAAGGCACATATGTTCTAGGTTGAAAAGAGAGCCCAGTATGGGTTTAGCTCAAAGTGCTAAGACTCTTCAACACGATGCAGTCTCCCCATTCAGACTCATTTATTCCTGAGTCTCACAGGCCGGAAGTCATTCTCCTGTTGTTCTCCGCCATGGGCCTGGGGCTCTGATGAGTTCCCCATCTTGGCTTTGCTACACCAGAGCCCTCCGTTCTCAGACGAACTCTGCATTCTCTCTGCCTAGGACTTTCCTGTGTGATGTGGACCAGGACTCTGAGCAGCTCGACAGCAGTGGCATGTTCCACTGGTGCAAAGCCACCCCTCTGGACAAGGTGATTTTGGTAGGTGATGTCTCACCAAAGCTCACAACAACATAAAGCACCTCTTGGGTTAAATTATGCATTTCAGCTAGTCAGGAGCACCTGCCATTTCTCTTTGTCAACTGTGAATTTGGAAGGAAAAACTCTTAGCTCCCCAGCTGGATGAATGATGTGCAATACGTGTAGCATTTGACAGAGACTTTGTGAGCAGCATTGCAGGGGTTTAAAAGGCAAAGAGATGTCCTCAGCTGCTTCCTGCCTCCCTTACCCCGTTAGCCGACTCAGTTTGCAAAGCCATGCCCTCCTGAAACTTCGCTAGTAAATCTAATGGATGTAAAAGCACCCGGGAACCTTACTGTTTCCAAGGGCTTTCTAGTCTTTGCTTTAAAGTAAATGCACATTTCCCTAATTTATTGGTTTTAAAATTTGGATTTCTTCTTGTAGTTAAAGCTGGCTTTTCCATAAAGCTCTATTTATATTTAATGCATCAACCAAGAATGTGTTTCCTAAGTGCTCCCAGCCTCATACAACATGGGTATGTCCTGTCCCTGCCTCTTCTCTCGAGGAGATAAACTAACTCAGCTCTCTGAAATGGCAGCAACAGGGATTTCAAAAGCCTGGGCTCCTAATCCAGGCTCCGACACCTGTTTTCTGGATCCCCATGCATGCTCTTTGCCCGATTTAAAAACTCAAGTATAATCTCAGTGGTTTTCTTTGCAAGCAGTAGCTGGTAAATGCAACTAATAACAATGACTGCTTTCATGTTGGGTGAACCCTATGTAATTTTCTCATCTCTGGCTAATTGTAGATAATAATAATGATTAATAATACTCATCATCATTTCTCACTTTGCAAAAGTAGTTTATGTTTTTCTATAACACACACATGCACACACACACACACACACACACACACACCATCGTTTGGCTCTGTGCCAGTGTCCTGACAGAATGTGATCCAGTTTCTTTGCAAAATGATGATCAATCATTGGATCAGAAGCACAAAACTGTCAGAGCTGTCATATCAACGGGAAAACTATAAGGGTTACTGAAATTCACCATTTTAGCAACTCTGTCTTATGCTAAAGTACACAAAATAAATATCTGTTGAGCAGAAAGCCACACAGGGGAGGCAAATCTTCAGAAAGATTGGGAAGTTGGGTGCATAAGGAGGCATCCAAAAGGCCAAGAAATGGCACCAGCAGATGTTTTGTTAGACCATATTTATCAGGCAGAGACACAGGACTCTATGATAGATGTTTCCCCTATGATGCTTGATGTGAGATATACCTCAGGACAGCCGCTGACTCATGAAGTTAAGTAATAGCTTCTGGTTTTAGAAATGCTAAGAGTTTGGAAACACGTCCCTGTGGGAGGAACGTCTACATTGCAAAATTCAGAGAGCCTTTGAACTTGATTTTGTCTGCAGAAGGGTCAAGTGGAAACAGTTGATTTAAGTTACTTTGAACAAATAGCACATCCTCCTCTTCTCCCAAAAGGCACCATCTCTTTTAATTGGGAGGCAATTTTGTGCCAGTTTCTTGGAGAAATTGCCTCTCTAGCTGTGCCCATCAGTGCATTCTGCCATAGATCTTGTTTTTAATTGTTTAGCTCTACTCAGGAGAACAGTTGTTGGATTTCAGGCGCGTTACATTAAATACCATTAGGGGCTTCATTATTCAAGTTAAAGCTAATCGGATTAGCTGGAGACAATTCTTTAATAGATCTGGTTAAGATTCATATCACTGTCTAGGAAAGCTCTCTAGACAAGTATCTTTATTCCCGCTCACAAGGAGATCCCCTGGCTTAGCAAACGAATATTTCCCAGGGTATGCTTAATTTGATCAACTTTAATTGTTGAGATGTCAGACGTTACTTATTTATCCTGCTGGATTGTGCCAACCCCTGTTTTGTAGAAGCACATTATGTATCCTACCCATGAACTGGCGTACAGAAGCCCCAGAGACCCACAAGTAGTATTCTCAGACTTTATGTCCCTGGCAATGCAGGAGATGCTGATGCTTATTTGCAAGATTTAAGTCCATTTCACTTTTTCTCTACCAGCTTCCAGGAGTTCTCCTTTGAAAAGCTAGGAATTCAATAAGATTCAGACTTGATTAAGTTATTGAACAGCCGCTAATGAGTTGAACATAGTTATCCAGGTCTCAAAACTCCCCAAGGACACTAAAATCTGCAGAAGCACAAGTCCCCTATCTAAAAGGGTGCAATATTGGCTTACACTCTCTGTGCATTCCCCTGGATACATTACATCATGTCTAGATTACTTATAATACCTATTAGGATGTAAGTTCAGTGGAAATAGATGTTACGCTATATCAGGGAACAATGGCAAAGGGAGAAAAGTCTATATGTATTTAGAACAGACACGATGTCAGTTTTCACTTATTTTCGATCCTCTGTTGCTTCAATCTGTAAATGTAGAATCCAAGAATATGATGGGTGCTGTGTATAATATTTTCAATTTATTATTGCCTTTTCACAATAAATTAAGTTTTTGTAACCTTTTAAAACATAACAACGTGAAAGTGAGAGAGGTTAAATAATTTGCTCAGTCATAAAAGAAGGACAGAACAAGAATACAAAATCAGATCTTCCCACTGCAACTTGGGTGCTCTTTTTTACTACATCCTAATGGCATTGGTCCATTCCCCGAAGGAATCAGACATGGGTTTACAATAAGTTTAGTACAGGAAAATCATTCTTAAGTTATATTTATTATTTTTATGAGCCCTGTGAATATGGGGGAACCCTAATCTAAATATTTCATATATATAGCTTGCAGCTTAGAAATACAAGGGAGATGTATTAGTATTGAGATGCTTAGTATGAGACATATTCAAATGTTTTGGATCAATGGAATTGTTATAGCCTTCTTATTTCTTTTGTATAGCATACACAGTGAATTTCCTTGACTGAAGAGTCTATTCAATCAGTTCAGTGAATCAGGTTGAACCATATTAGGTTGCCATTTTTGACCCCAAAAAGGGCATTTTATTGCACTTCAAAGTAATGCATGGAAACCCACTGAATACTGCAACACATTGCATAACTTAATATAATTTTAGGACTGACCAGAAAATGTATGTTTAGCAATAGAATTTGTAATGTCTTAGTTTTTTAGTGAATCTTAAGGCTAAAATAAGTCATGAAAATCAAACATTCTCCCCATATGGCTCAATGATTTCACACCCTGAGTCATGATGTTGATCCAGGCTACTAGAAAAATAAAAAAGCAAATAAAAGACAAAGCCAAAAAGTAAAAAGCAAAAGATGGCGGAACAACTCAAAAAGATCAAAGTTATGATTGTACCACTTACACCGCTTATGCGTAAGTTCTTTTTTTATAAGCAATTTGCAAAATTCTGTTATGAAAATACTGCTGTGGCGACACCTTGAAGAGGTGGGGGTGGGAAAGACAGTTATGCAAGGGCTATCATCTCCTGTACCAAAGTGACCACGTTCTAACACGCTTATCCTTAGAAACGCACGGATAAGTCAAAGCACGAGTTTCGGAACCACATTGTCGCATGTGTCTTTGGAGACACCCATTCGGCTTTGATGGGGCTTCAGAACTTTGTGATGCCTTTGCGAGCGAGCAACTACACCCGGAGGGAGCTGAAGGACATTGTGTTCATCGGGTCTCTGGATTACATGCAGAGAGAGTGGCGCTTTCTCCGGAACTTTCCCCAGATATATGTTATGCCTGTAAGTCTCCCCCACGGAACCGTGAATATTTATAATGCTAATGATACCACCCCTACTAGCACTGATGATAATAATAACAGCTTGCCATTCCATAGTACATATTGAGGATCAGAAAATATAAATATTATATAAATATTTATTTTATATTATTATATTATTTATATTATTATATAAATAATAAAAATTATATAAATATAAATATTATAAATCTACCCAGATATGCAGATAGGGAGATATGCATGAATTCATGTAATCCTCAAATAACTCAACAGAGTAGGTATTAAAGACTTGGAACTTCAAACACGGAGAAAATATGTTGTCCAAGATTACAGGGCAACTGTAGGATCTAAATCTAAGTGGTATGGGTCCTGCGTTTGTATTCACACCACCATGTTTTGGGGGCTTTATGCTCTGTATTTCTGAGTCTGAATCTCACTTACTGGTCAAACCAAATGCCTCCGCCCACTAACGTTCACGTCTTTTCTGGCGACATCTCATACAGAACACACATCACCACATATTCTCTGTCAGATGTATGAAGAGATGGGCTTTGGTTGACCTTTTTGAGAAATGCACCTGCTGTGGTTTTCATGGCCCCTCCAAAATGCAAGTCGAAACTTAGTTGTCATGGTAACAGGGTTGCACGGCAGGGCCTCCACGAGGTGATTATGGCACGGGACCTTGCCCTCACAAGTGGGTCAGTGCCCTTGTCACAGGAGAGGGCTGAGTTATCACAGGAGGGGGTCCCTGAGGAGAAGGGGAGGTTGTCCCCACCGTCTCCTGCACATGCTCTCCCATCACGTGATGCCTTGGCCTTGTTAGCTTGCAGCAAGAAGGCCTTTGGTAGATGTGGCCTTCAACTTCAGACAACCTAACCTCTGCAGCTGTGAGAAATAAATCAGACTTCTGAATTACAAATTGTCCAGTCTGTGCTATGATGTGATAAGTGACAGAAAAGATACTAAGATGGGAGCTTTCTATATACACGCAGCATTGCAATTGCAGTTATATTTTCCTGGGCTCTCATGGACCTGTGGCCCAGCCTGTGCCTCCATTTCCCCGGATGGAAAGTCCATGATGTGCACAGTGAAATCCATGGGAGCATTTGCCTTTTCATGAGATCATATGGGCAATGATGGGTCTGGTGCTTCAGCCAATAAAAAGGAAGGCAGGAAAATGGCCAGAAGCCAGCAAATGTTAGGAATTGCTCAGGCCTCCAAGCGACCTGAAGGTAAGACCAGAACTCTCCCTTTTCTTCAACAAACAAAAGACACAACTGCCACAGTGTCTGTTAACTCAGAGAAGGCAAGTTGGCTGGGTTGCTGGTAAGGGAGTGAGGATGCAACACTTTTCTTTAGACCTCTTTTCTGCAAGTTTTTCTCCTCGCCACTGTCAGCCAGACTCAGTTTCTCTGCTCCCACTGGAGTCATCTAAACAGATCTGTGCTCCTCACTGCTCATCCTCCTTGGTCTCCTCCTACCTTGCTCTCAGGAAAGGGTCTGGGAGATGCACTGGCTCTAAGATATTAGCAAACGATAAGGTTAACCGAGTCAGACACCAGCTAAGTAAAGTTAGAAAAATCAAGCCAGGGAAGGCTGGAAAGCCTTTGGCTCAAAAAAAGTCGCAATGTTCAGCCACCACCCCTGAGCCATGAAACAAAATCCCCCCAGCTGACAAACCCCTCCCCTGCCTGTTTTTCTCTCCTTAGGGATCTGCACTCTACACCGCGGACCTGCACGTGGCCAACATTGAGTACTGCTCCATGTGCGCCATCCTATCCCCCCCCTCCAAGCCGTCCAGTAGCCAGACACTGGTAGACACGGAGACCATCATGGCCACCCTCAACATCAGATCCCTGCGCATTGGCTCCTGTGCCCATGCCACGTCAGGTCAGATCAACACCCCTGGCAGGAAGACGTCAGGCAGCATGGAAGCAGGAAAGGCTAGCTTTTCTAGAAAGTACTTTACCTGTGGGGGAGAAAGAGGATGAGCCTGATGTCCTTTACGAGCCCAGACGGCTCTTGACAATCCTGTAACAGGACTATAATGCTGTAATAGCCCACAGTTAGTACTCTGGAATTCTAAGTCAAATGCTAAACCACACCCTTCCTGTAAATGGAGTTGCACATCGTATTGTCTTCCTATTTTAGAAAACACAGTCGCAGAATTCTAAGCGCTATTATTTCTATTGTTACTCATCAAATATAGGTGAGCACAGTGCATTATCATGAATAAGAGGTATTATTATTAATCAATTCTCATTGGATCTTACAGATGTTTAAGTTATAGTTCTTAGTTTCATGAGAGGATGAACTATAATTCTCATTTACTCTTCAAGGCACTTTCAATGTATGTATTTTAGAAGATTGCCTCTAAGGTCCCTTGTAACTTCAATAGACTAAACAGGTCATATTTTATTTTCTGATTAGAAAGAAATGGTGAAAGAGAAGTAGCAATCTCTTTAGAATGGGGGCCACCCTGTCTGTCTCTCCTCTGGATTCCCTGCAGCATGTAGCACAATCACTATCACTTAGTAGATGCTTAACAAACAGCTATTGACTTGAAGTAAATGAGCCACTGAGCTGGACTCCAGTGGGGAACACCGGCCACAAAATATGCCCGAGGTTAATTCTTACTACCAAATTGCATTTTTTTCTTCTCCTCCGAATGGGAAAAGGCTTATATATTAGTCTGTTTCTAAAAATTGACTACCAATCACCTAACCTAATGTGAAAGTACAATTAGTGAAGAATTTTCTGTATATAAACAGATTTTCAATTCCCAAAACCCAAAGTGAGCAGGATTGGAATCCCTCGGGTCTCTCCAGTTCCCTGGAGGATGACAGATCTTCTATATCAAGGTCAGGTGCGACCTTGGTCCGCAGGCTGCATTGCTGCTGACCACAGCTGTGCCACTCTGCATGCACTTGGAGAGTTCAGAATGAAAGGCTGTCTGTGATTGTGGTGGTGGACAGAAACGTTCATGTGTCAAGTCAGGAAACCCAGAGAACTCTTTGTGACTCCCAGATGCTGTTGCCAGGCAGGAAATACAGGCCCTTGGGACAAAGGAATAAAGACATAATCTAATCTCTGGTAGGTGAGCTAAGCCAGCTGCTGGATTAGACACACCCCCACTAAGCAACCAAACCCAGCTCAGTATCTAGGGTGTCACGGTGTTCTGCAAAGCAGACCAGATAACAAGACTCTTCGTGGATGACAAAGTGCTGTGCAAAGCCAGTCTGAGGAGGTGTGAGTCCGCCTTTTCTGAAAAATCGGAGGATCCACAAACATGCTGTTGTGTTTTGCCACACGAATCCTTAGCTTGGCAAGAAGGGCCACTGCCCAGATTCATGCATGATTTATGTGTGCATGCACTTACGTGCAGGCTTGCAACTTGCCATAATTGGACAGAGAAGAAGTATCCACTTTAAAGGGAAAATCATCCCTGTACAAATGAAAATGTGCACACAAAAATCCTGGGATGAACTGACAGCACCACAAGCCATGGAGTTAATGGTGCGTGTGAGCAGTCCTTCCCACCACTGTTATTTTTTATACCTCACCTCCTGTATAGGCTAGAGAGACAGAAACCTATGATTCTAATTCTAGTTTCCTTTGTATCTAACACTTTTCAGCATTCCTTCATTTAACGGAAATGTGTTGGTTTTGTGTAGTGTGTCAGGTACTCTGGCACAGGCCAGTAAAGTTCCATGAAAGGTGCAATTGACTGGTTTGGTTGAAGGAGAGAGAGGAGGGGTAGGGTGGGGTGGGGGAGCGCTGGAAAGGGGGAAGAGGAAAGAATGGAATGTCAAAGTATTGGAGTCAACACGAAGCAAAGGGATGATTTTGCCCAAGGACAGAAGGCACGGTTGAGAGAACAATGTACTGTGTAGACCTGGTGCCATTTTCTGGTGGATGGGATCATCCCTCTGTGTGTGAAAGGAATATAGGTCCACAGAGGCTTGGATGACCTCCGCTCCCGGTGAAGGTCACCATGTCTGCCTAACCAGTATGAAGCCATTAGTAAAGTCTTATTTTGAGTATATTTCAAGGAGACATATGAACAGCGAAGGGCCATCGCGCATACATTACAGAAATTACAATGGCAACAGAGGAATGTATCTTGGGTTTGTAAACAGAAATCCCACTCTGCAGAGAAGCCCGTCCGGCCCTCTTCATCCTTCTTCCCACTTGCTGTGAATACTCCTCTTTCACCCCACCTGAGAGACAGAAATGCGTATACCTCCCAAGAACTGAAAGTATAAAGGGTTGTGGAATTCTTCCAGGAGCTAGAAAACATCTTCCACACTGAGCATCCAAAGAAGACTAGCTGGTAGGCAGTCTTCTTCCCCTTTCTGTACATCAGTGGTTCTCAACTGGGGCAATTTTGCCACCTGAGGTCCTTTGACCATCTTTTGGTTGACACAAGTAAGGGGACTGTAGCCATATCTAGCAGGTAGAGGTGAGAGACACTGCTAAACTTCTTACCATGCCCAGGACAGCTCCACACAGTACAGACGCAGGGTGGGTGTTTATTCTAATGATTAAGACTCCAGTGTTCTGCACTGGATTCCCTGGGCTTGATCACTGGCCCCAGCTGCCAATTCTAGCTTCCCCCCAGTGCAGACCCTGGGAGACAGCAGGGATGGCTCAATTAATTGGGTCCCTGCTACCCCCACATCGGAGATGTGAATTCAGTTTTCAGCCCAGCCGTGGCCACTGTGGGCATTTGGGGAATGAACCCATGGTCAGGATTCGCTCCCTCTTGCGCTCGTTCGCTCTCTCTCTCTTTCTCTCTCTCTCCCTCCCTCCTTCAAAAAGGAAAACCATGTCAATAGCACCAGGATTGAGACTTTGCCCTGGTGTATCCGGTGAGAACCCTGGGGGATCAGCGGGCTTTGCACATCTTCATAGCCCTTATAAACTTTCATACAAAGTCAAGCTGAAACCACCACGGCTATTCCACACAGATTCACGAGGGAGCTTGGGAGACGGGGGACAGCGGAGTGCAGACGCTCCAAAGGACCAGTAAGAACACCAGGCCTCCTGGACATCTCCCCGGGAAACTTCAGGTTTTCAGTAATGCTCTAATTACTGCCCTGTCATGTCACCCGGAGAGCAGGTTGGCAAACCTAGGTGCCGAACTAAATAATCTGTGGCATAATCTAAACATATAACGGTAATTAAGTCTGACAACTTAATATGCTACTGAAATTTAAATGTACAGTAGTAATCTACAATTAAGCAATCTTTTGTAATAGCACCCTGCCAGGCTGGAAGATTCCAGGTATAATACTGTGTGCTATTAGGTAGCAAAAATATTGACATTAGTAAAATGTGCCCAGGCTATGATCTGACACACACTTAAATTAACCATTGCTCTACAAGAGAAGAATGGAGTAACAGGCAGAAATGCAGTTGCTATCCATCAATGGGTAACAGAAACAAATACGTAGTGCAGCTCCTTCAGCTAGTGCTGAAATATCTGTACTCAGTTAAAACACTGGACTATGAAAATTGGATTTTCCAGGTTCTTTCTAGAAAGGAAACTGGAACCCAGAAAAGGGGAGGGTCAAAGGTGATTTCCTTGTAGAGGGATTTCTCCATTTAGGGAAACTGATCTCAATCTTTTACTGAATATGTCAGATCTTGTAGCAGGTACTCCAAATAGTTTGTAGAAAATGGAATTAAATGACAAGCTTAGAGGACAGACATTTGGCATAACATTAGTTGCCACTTGGAGAGCCAGAATTCTATACTCCCAATTTCAGCTTCCTGCTAAACATATATAAGGACAGCAGATAATGCCTCAAGTGGTTGGGTCCCTGTCCCCAGTGTAGGAGACCTGGACTGAGTTCTTACCTCTGACTTCAACCAAGCTCAGCATATGAACTGTTGTGAGCACTTGGGAAGTGAATCAGAATTAATTATTTTTTAAAAAAACATAAGCTTATTTTGCTGCAAAACAAGTTTGAAATTTATGCAATTTTTTCAAAATGCACATTTTCATGAAATTTTGAAAGACCCTCATGTGCATAACTTTTTAATTTTTACACCAAAATAAATGTATCTTTTATTCCAATTTCCATGAACCTTTTAAAGTACCCTCATAAGTATATATGTAAAATAAATATTTAAAATGCATATCTATATAATATAAAATATTAAAATACATTAAAATATAAAATATATTTGTTAGGAAAAGAGTTGCAGATTGGTGCCTCCTCACACGGGGCACCATAAATGTTAGGAAAAGAGGTGCAGAATAGAGAGGAAGCAATGCACGAATTTACAGCCAGACTGAATTTATTCAGAGAAAATAAATTCTTAGAGGTGGGTGACCAACTGCCCGCCTGCACACTGATGGAGCTCCTGGCAGAAGGCCCTGACCCCCAGAGGCTGGGCCTTTTTATATGTTAGGAGGTCTAGGGCTGGGGGTGGGGATTGGGAGCAGCAGGTGGAAGGGAATTCCTGGAACCGGGTGAGGCCTTGGGAACCTGGAAAAGCATGCAGGCAGTAGGGTGTGAGACCCAACTGAGATTCAAGGGCAAGGAATACATTCCAGTGTTTATCTACCTTTTGGGCAATGAGCAAGAATGGCTGAGGTTTATGTCCTTATTCCATCAACATTAAACTACATTTAGAATGTAAAATATTTGAAATATATTAAAATATAAAATATACATATATTTAGAAAATAAATATTTTATAAAATATATGTATGCGTTTTAAAGATTTATTTTATTTATTTGAAAGCAGAGTTACAGAGAGAGAGAGAGAGTCATCCATCTGCTAGTTCACTCCCCAAATGGCTGCAACCAGGAGCCAAGAGTTTCTGTGGCTGTAAGGGCCCCAAGCACTTGGGCCATTCTCTGCTGCTTTCCTGGGTGCATTAGCAGAGAACTGGATCAGAAGTGGAGCAGTAGGGACTTGAACTGGCACCCATATGGGATACTGGCATTGCAATTGGTGGCTTAACCCACTCACTACACCATAACACCCCCCCCCCCACACACACACACACATACACATTTTAAAAGGGCTATAAAGCAAAGGCATGGACTTTGAATGTGGTATTAGTCAGGGTGTGAAACCCCATCCATCATTTAAAAGGTATGTTGACCTTGAAGTGAAGCTGCAATTCCTTGTATTCAAAGGTAATCTAACTACACGTAATTCACAGAGCTGACGTGACAGCCACAGAACTGCAGGTCAACAGAGAGTTTGGATTTTCTGCTACATTCTTCTCTGTACACTGGCTCTTTCCTGCCTTGGTTCCCTTATCCGATTCCCTGTGCTTGGATGGTTCGGTCTCATCTCCCAGGACTCCTTTCCAAGATCTGAGAAACCTCCCTTTCAATCCTATCTCAAGTCACTTGCCCTTCCTCAGTGCTTAGCCCCTAAAGCAGGGGTGGGAAGCATTTCTTCTGCCAAGGGTCATTTGAATATTTATAACATCATTTGTGTTATACATACAGAATCATCAACTTAAGAATTAGCCTGCTCTATGTTTACTAAATTTCAGGTCTCACCTGTGGCTGCCTTGGCAGAATGAGAACAAAGGATCTTGCAGGTCCTATACTGCCTGCAGGCCAGCTGCTCCCCACTCTGCCTAAAGTTTATGAATCTCTTGGATACTTATCACTATCTGGAAATATTTTTTCTTTGCACCTTGTGACATATAGATGGGCAGGCGCTGTCCACAATCCTAGGGTGGAGCAGGTGCTTTTTAAATGTCTGTGGGAAGGAGGAAAGGGGCAGGGAAGTAGGGAAAGAGGGAAGGAGTGAGGAAGAGAGGGAAGATGGTTGGAGGGAACACAAGCAGGTAAGGCATCTTGCGGAGTTCAGGGGATAAAGTAGAATCTCAGTTCTCCCTAGCTTCCTGCAGTATGGGAATCTGAGTCTTTAAAGGGAAAAAAGTCCAAGTGCGGGGTTTACTGATGAGCCATATATCTAGGCAACCCGGTATCTCTCCTTGTTAAAGAGCTGTGCAACTCTGCTCAGCCCTCTGGGCTTCTGCTTCCTCATTGAAATCTGAAGGTTTTACCAAATCCTGGGGCAACTGCTGGCTCTAACCATAAACCAAATGCTCTGGGCTCTCCACATGGAGCTTCGGGTCTTATCCTATTGCCATGACTCAGGTTTTTGGTGGATATTGGAAATATATTCAACTCTACTCAGCACTAACAAGTGGCTCTTTTACTGAACACAAGGCTACTTCAAAAATCTCATGGGAAAATGGGATTAAAAGATGTTTATTTTGGTGCAAAAATATTATTGAAATCCATGCATAGATTTTTTTTTAATACACATTGTCCATGAACTCTTTGAAGTACCTTTGCATTTCTTGGGGAGACGGGGGAGGTGTTACATCTTGCAATGCACAGCACTCCTCTGGAAAAAAGAATCCGCCTTTGAGTTCCTCTCACTCCATCTCTGGACTCTCTGTCATCCTGCCTTTATCTACTGCTGGAGAGGCTTCCCAACATCGCTCACCTCCATTCACTTCCCTTCCTATACTCCCTTCCCCTACCAATTACCTGGCTTAGCAAAGGACACTCTCCTTTTCTTCCAAAGCAACACAGTCTTAGTTGCTAGTAGACTTTGAACTTTCATGATATTTTTGCCCTGTTACATAACATCCTCTGCAAAATCTAAAAGCAACAGTTTGAAAGCACAACTTACACTGAGACAATTGTGTCTTTTAAGGGCACCCCGGTTTCCCACTCCCCCCCTCCCTCCACATTTGTAGTGTTGCAGCAAGGAGACCCAAACCCTGTTGCCAGGCTTCTTTAAGAAGCTCTTCCACACGCAGGTCACTGCATGACAAACCCCTGTTTAAGGCCAGGGTTGTGCCTCAGCTCTCACGTGGGTGAAAGCAAGAGGGAGAATCATCTATAAACTGAGCTCAGGGACCTCCCATTCCAGTCTTTCCAAGGGTACAAGGCACTCCAGACAAAAGTCGGCTTACCAAGTGCAGGAGGAAGCCAGTTCTCAGGAGACAAAAAAAAAAAAAAAAAAAAAAAAAAAAAAAAAAAAGAAAAGAAAAGAAAAAAAAAAAGGCATAAGCCGTCCTTGCAGCCAGAGAGGATCCCCGAGGTCAGACAGATAACACCGGAACCGGAAGCCAGCTACAGTGCCTCCAAAAGCACTTCCGGAGCACTGCCACCGAGTCAGTCAGTTTCCCAAGAGTTCTGTAAGCAAATTGATGCAATATGAGACGCCGCCAGACAGAGCAGTTACTCAGTGCTACCGCTCCTCCAGGAATAATCAACTCTTAGTGCTGATGTCAGCAAGTAGCCACTGAGAGAGCTCGGCCAGCGTTGCTCGTCACATGAAGTGCCGTTTAGCGAACATGTGTGCACACACACCCACTCCCCCCCACCCACCCCTGCCACTTCACTAAAGGCGCTTCTGAGGAGGTTCAAATACTGTCAGCCCTCTGTATCCATGGGTTTCACAATCACAGAGTCAACCAACTACCACCAAAAATAGTTGGGGAAAAACTTACATCTGCACTGAACATGCACAGAGTTTTTTTCCTTGTCGTTATCAACTGTTTACCTAGCATCTCCAGTGAGTTAGGTGTTATAAGAAACCTGGAGATGATTTAAACTACGTTGGAGGATGTGTATCAGATGCCAATACTACACCTTTCCTGCAAGGGACTTGAGCATCATTGGATTTTGAGATCCACAGGGATCCTGTAAATAACCCCAACAAGGACGAAGGCATGACCAGCATACATTTTTTTTTTCTAAATATAAAAAAGATTTTGGGATTTGGGCATGAGAGAACAGTGCTAAAATAAAGCAACAAGTTACGTGCTCTTCTACCTCCTTGTCAAGTCCTGCAAGCCAATGTGCGTGTATTTCTCATCTCTTTTCTCCTTGATTTTTGTGTTTTGCCTACAGATCGAGTGGCAACCGACTTAAATGAAAACTACGGGAAAACAAAATACCGAAGAATTCCCGTCCTCACTGAACTCAGTAAGTCATGTTTCAAGAGCAAAATTCAAGGGAGAAATCTTTTTGAAGTGTAATTCATGTCAGGTTCTTTCTAGAATCCAAAGGATAGAAGAACAAGAATGGAGCCCAGAGAGCTGTAGGTCATTGCTGGACCTTATCCTGGGGTCTTCCCTTATGAGTGGCATTGCCCAGCACAGCCTGCTGCTCTGGGCGTCAGGCGACTACTTCCCTGTTACCAGGAGAGGCAGGGAGACCAGCAGTTGGCTCAGTCTTGGGCAGCAGGAGGGGACTTGATCTGAAGATTGACAGACAGGATCTCCCCGTCCTGATTTATCTGCCCCATCATGGGACTCTCAGCCAAGCCCCCTCCTTTCCTGCAGCAGTGCCAGAGCCAAGACCAGGAAGAGAGCCAGGAAGGCTGCAAAGCTTGGAGGGCAGGCTTTGAGGAGGTGCTGGCTCTGGAGGGCTTTACATCCTGAGTTCTAGGTGTCTCCCTTGCATTGTCTCAATCCCAGCCCTGAGTGGTGCTCTTCTAAAATGGAAATACCCCCCAAGAGGAATAACAGAACAAGCTGTTCTCTTTTGCCAACCGCTATGAACTTGTAACTTCCCCAGACTGCATCAGCTCTAGGAGCTGAAAGTTCTGTAGGGAAATACAGGGAAAGCTGCCCATATGCACGAGGGGGGATGTTGGAGGCTCATTAAGGGCCCATGGGGATTCATTACTGCCACTAATTGAGGAGAAAGAAGACACCACAGAACAGCATTGAGTTGCCTTTTTTTTTTTTTTTTAGCATAGACTAAACAACTCAAACATGATCTCCAAAGCTAGTCCTAGGTGTGTGATTTGACTTGATGCTGTAATAGAGAAAAATGCTTCATGGACATTTTATGATTTAGAACATAAAATCTGAGTGGGACGTATATCAAACTAGATGAAGAGATAGCTCAGTCCTGGAAATGAATGATGGACACTTGGAGAGGAATCCGCAGATCCCAGCACTGCAGGAGCTGGGGTGACAGTGTAGCAGGTGGGACCACAGGTTAGTTGCTCTGGGTCCTATTGCAGAGGCCCCTCAGATTCACCTTGGAACATCTAGACCCCTGGATCGTGGCCACAGCCTCCCAACCTTGTAGCTTCCAGCTTCAGATTTTATTTATACGTATTTTTTTCCTTCTGTTTCGGGCCATGTCTAGCTCCTAAGGTGCATATATACACTCAGTATGTTAAGTAGAAGAAAACTGTTCATTAGAATGGTTAGGAGAAGATCAGCTAACTGCCTCCTGGCTCAGAGGAACATCTGGTCACTCTCTTGGGGCTTCCAGGCTTAGTTCAACCAAAGACTTTTTGGCAGCAGGCAGCCTTTGTCAAATTTGCCTGACAGTTCACCTGCCAATTAGCTCAACTACTTGTTCTTTGACTGACTGGACAGGGTCATACTGACATGGCAGCTGCTAGCCTGCCTGCCAGCACTCTGGAACAGAACATACCAGGGCCTGCAGGAAAATGACTGGAAAAGCAGAGGCCACTGGTGTAGGATGACACAGCAAGATTCGGACAGAGTTTCATGAATGTTGAAGGTTGGTGACGCACGGATAGGAAAGTGGGAGTGCATAGGAGAGGTGGGTTGGAATTAGTCACATCTTGTTCATTTTTTATAAATCATATAGCTGTCCTTGGAAGAAAATGATTCATTAATACCACTAGTCTGTCACTTCCCCCACATTTATTAAGGAACAATTTAAGGGATTGGGGAATAATCCATTCTTAATGAAAACGCCTTCTGAGCTGTATGTCCAGTGGATTTGTTTTGATCTATAGTATCAAGAACTGCAATGTCAAGATCTGTGAGCTGTTGACGTCTTTATTCTACTTCAAAATCAAGTAGTTAACCACAAGTCTCGTGGATGCTGGCCAGAAGACAGAAGCCCCCGGGGTCAGAGAGAAAAAAAAAAAAAACTTTTTTTATTACCCACAGTAACAGAGCATCCTCAATTTGGTGCTAGTTGCTCAAGTGCTACTTCCCAAAGGCTGACATGAAGAAGGGCTAAGAGACAGCTTGCCCAGAGTTTACAGAAAAGGAACTGAGTTTCGGAAAGGAGAATCTTCTGTAACAGGCAATCAGCACGCATTCTCTTAGCTCTGAAGGGGAGCAAGGCAGACAGCATCTCTATCTTCCAGTGCTGTTCTCTATCTGAACACATATTTTTGAAGCAATAGTCCAGGGAGGCAGGCAGCCAGTGCCTTCCATCTCACTCCCCACAATGACCAGTTGTGTTCATTTGCAGAGCCCACCTATTGGAGTGCGAGTTGTAGCCTGGAGCCAGATAGATAAGACAAATGGAAAACTTGGCTCTCTCTGCACTGGCCTCAGTTAGGATGATCTGTAAACACTTGCTACTCACAGTGTGGACCATGAGTCAGCAGCATCAAGCAAGTGGGCTCTCAGACCCCAGACGAAGCCGAATGAGTCAGAATTTGCCTGGTAACAATATCCCCAGGTGATTGACAGAACCACTCTCACTCACTCTGGGCTCAGATAACTCCAAGCATCAAGTGGCTAACATAGTATGGCATGATATTGCAGGGAAAGACTATAAGTAGGATGACCATAGATTCCTATTTGTGCCTATTGCCCTAGTATAGTTATTGAGAGTACACCCTTCAACTCTCAAAGGTGTTCTTTTTTTTTTAAAGATTTATGTATTTATTTGAAAATCAGAGTTACACAGAGAGAGAACGAGAGCCAGAGCCAGAGAGAGAGAGAGAGAGAGAGAGAGGTCTTCCATCCGCTGGTTCACTCCCCAAATGGCTGCAATGGCCAGAGCTGCACCGATCTAAAGCAAGGAGTGAAGTGCTTATTCCTGGTCTCCCACATGGGTGCAGGGTCACAAGGACTTGGGCCATCTTCCACTGCTTTCCCAGGACATAGCAGAGAGCTGGATCAGAAGTGGAGTAGTGGGGACTTGAACTGGTGCCCCTATGGGATAACCGCACTGCAGGTGGGAGCTTTACCCATTGTGCCATAGCACCGGCCTCAAAAGTGAGATAAACTATACAATCAGTCTATAATCATGGAGAATGTATACTTTAAAAAAACTGTGCATAAATTTCAAAAAGCTTCGGCACCAAAATAAACTCACCTTTTCATTTGGTTTTCCCACAAACTGTATGAAGCGTCTTCACATAGAAGGGACAGTCAGAACACTTGTCTGGGGAAACTTGAGCCTGTGGTAGGAGAATGTCCCTGTGACGATGAAGGGACACCAGGTGGATGCATGTCTTTAGGGAAGGAAGATTCTTGGAAAAGAAAAAAAAATGTCCTAAAACAGGGGTAGATCCCATAGAGACCCAAAGGAGACACCTCTGGCCTTCCTTTTGTGAATGTCTCTGTATTCTCAAGACTCCACGCCTTTCCTCTCTGCTTTCTGCCTTGCAGAAAATCCTTCCAACATCCACTTTATCGAACAGCTTGGCGGACTGGAGGGGAGCCTCAAGGAAACCAACCTGCATCTCAGCACTTCCTTCTCCACAGGCACCGTGTTTTCTGGCAACTTCCTCGATTCCCTCCTGGCCACGGTAAGTGTGGCTAAGGCCAAGATTTTCCAAACCAAGTCCTGCGTAAAGGGGTGAGTGGTTGGGTTAGAGCTGGGTACAAGATGAGAACACCTCGCCTGTCTAAGTTCTCTTTGACTTACAAAAATAAACCTCATTTGTGCACATCATTTCATCTGCATGCCCAGCTGCATGGTGAGAGAAGTAGAGATTTCACATTTTCTGGATTTAAACCTTGAGATCCCTGGAGCCAATGCACTTGAAGCCAGGAGAAAAGAGAGCTGGCCCTTCAGCTTCAAGTGTGCATTGGCAGAGCGGGCCCTTGGCGTCAGAGCCTAGAGGATATGCACTCTCTGCTACCTGGAGTCACCCAACAGCTTCTGCTGAAACTGGCCATAAAGGAACCCTGGGGTCCACAGCAAAGTCAAATCTCCCTCCACGTTGCCCCTCTAATGTGGAACATTTTGGACTTCATGGTTGCTCTTTTGTTTTCAGAACCTTGAGCCACTAAGCAGACTTCTTGCATTCACTACAGAATTCCCATGAGGAGAAGTAACTCATCCTCTTACAGATATCTATTGAACCCCTGCTCTGCACAAGTGCCGTGGATACAGTGGTGACAAACAGACCTCTCCTCCAGGTGGAGTTTGCACCAAGGGGAGGAGATTGACAGGAACACGCTAACATCCAGTCACAGGGCTAAGGAAATGTGCGATGGCAAATGTAGGGCTGAGTCAAGCTGTTACAGGTTTCAATACACGACCAAGAGAAGCAACCTGTGAGTGAAGCTCAGGGTCAGAGGGTGAGGTAGGCCATGCAGACCCCTTATAGAAGAAATACCCAAGAGGCTGCAAGGTAGCAGCAAACCCAGGGTGTTGAAAGAATCTGGATTTGCCTACACCCGAATAATCCACATGTAACCATTTGTGAATGACCACAAGAATTCCTGAAAGAAAATCCATGTGAACCAACACATCTCCTTCTCTTCCTACCCAGATTTTTCAAAGGAAGGGTTGCAAAATGGTGGAATATGAACATGCAGGTATTTAAATTCACAAAGGTCTGAGCACAAGCTGATATATTTGCTGTCTTCTGGAACCCCATGTAGAAAAGACCTCATTCCTACACGGTATGGGTGCCTTGGGCACAGTGTACACACTAAGGGGAGTGTGGCTGGGGCACATGCATCCGGCTTGTGGCCTCAATTCCATTTATATGCTCAGGTGGCTCTGCAGCTCTGGGCTGTGTCTCTGTAAGCCATGGGGGAGGGGTCCTGTAGACTCCACTGAGCTGTCAGGCACACAGCTCTACTTCAGGGAGAGTTGACGTTAAACAAGTTGGTAGACTACAGACTTCCTAAAGGGTTAAACAGCACACAGCCTTGGCCACACCAGAAAGTGATGCACTAGAGGGAGTCAAGTCAGGTTACTTGGCTGAGAAGGTGGCTGCATCACTGTCATTGATAGGTCAATTAGCTGGCCTGGAATCAGCGATGAGTTTCAGGCAGAAGGTGACTTGTGGTGATCTTAATCTGTCTACAGGATACAGTTGAGATGGGTTTAAGGCCCCGGCTCTCTTTAGTGGCAGGCAGCTTCATGCCTTAAATTAAACTTGACACTTAACTAAACCACACCTGCCTGGACAGGCAGGAACAAAACCGCAGATTCCATTTTGGAGTTGGTGGGAAGGGCAGTGTCTTGGTCTGTTCAATGTTACCATAGCTGAGACTGGGAATTTTGCAAACAACAGAAGATTGTTTGGCTCATCCTCCTGCAGGCTTGAATGTCCCAGGGCATGGCACCATGGCTGCTCAGCGTCTGCAGGCTTGAATGTCTCAGGGTGTGGCACCAGGGCTGCTCAGCGTCTGGGAAGGGCCTGGTGTTGTTCATCCCATGGCAGAAGGCGAGAAGGCAAGGGAGAGACACAGAAAGGAGAGAGTCAATATTGCACTAGCCTTTCACTCAGGACCCCACTCCTGTGATAACTCACCCACTCCCAAGATACGGGCATTCATTCGTTCAGAAAGGGCCTGCCCTCAGAACCTACCCTCTTCCAGGTCCCATCTCTCAACACTGTGGCACTGGGGGTTAGGTATTTCAACACAAACTTTGAGAAAGGGACACATTCTTTATTTTTTTTTAATTTATTTATTTGAGAGTCAGGGTTACACAGAGAGGAGAGGCAGGGACAGAGAGAGAGAGAGAGAGAGAAGTCTTCCATCTGCTGGTTCACTCCCCAGTTGGCCACAATGGCTGGAGCTGTGCCAATCCAAAGCCAGGAGCCAGGAGCTTCTTCCGGGTCTCCCATGCGGGTGCAGGGGCCCAAGGACTTGGACCATCTTCTACTGCTTTCCAGGGCCATAACAGAGAGCTGGATCAGAAGTGGAGCAGCCGGGACTAGAACCGGCACCAATATGGGATGCCGGCACTTCAGGCCAGGGCATTAACCTGTTGTGCCACAGCACCGGCCCCAAGAGGGACACATTCAAACCAGTCAGGCTGGGCAGAGAAACACTGAAAGAGTAGAAATAAAAATAAATGAACACACTATATAAACCAGCACAGGAAACACAAGCTTAGTAATAAGAGTCCTGAACTAGGTGTCTGTTGAGTGGGATCTTGACCTTGGGCAGTCAGAGCAGGGCTGTGTATTGTATTAATGGCCTCTGCTCAGTGGAAGAGGGGCTTTTTTGCTGAAAAACAAAAATGAGCTACATAAAGTCTCAAGAGTCTGTTCTGAGCCCCTCTCATGATGTCTGTTGGGTGAAAACAAGACCACGTAGTGTGGTCCGATAGAGGGTTGTTCCATGAGGTTATAACCCCCAGTAGACCAACAGCTTGCCCTTAATAAACCCTGATAAGGGGATGATTTAGGAGCAGCACTTGGTCCACTGAATCAGGGCTGGGAATGGCAACCCAGTGTCAGGGAAAACGGCAGCCTCTAAGTGGAGGGGCCTGCCTGAACCCGTAAATCTCTCCCTGACCCAGTGGCCTTCTGTTCCAGCTGTTGAATTGTTAATGAGGAGGAATGCAGCAAAATGCACACAGGTTAATGCTACTGAAAGGAGGAGCAGAACAAGACCATTGCAAACAACCAGTGAACGCTGCCCACTGCTGTTCCCGTTTTCCCTGGGCCTGTCCTACAGGTTCTCTTTGAGCCTTCTAAGCATGGGGGCTTCCTGTCATACCATCCATATGGAAAGAGAGAACCCAAGGTCAGGCCTGAGCCTCCAATTCCACTATCTGTCTCTTCCATTTGTTCTTGGCTGGCCCCCGATCTTCACTCCTGGAAGTAGCCCTACCTGAGAACATTGATCATTTTCTACCACAACCCCTGGAGTCCCTGGGGTGGCTCCAGGATATGTGCACAAACACTCAGTTCTCTTCTCCATGCACGCTGAACCTTGCCAAGGGTTGGGAGGAAGGCAAAGACCTCCAACTCTCCATGAAGTTAGGGTGTCAGTAACAGCCCCCCCCGCCGGCTATGATCTCCTCTATCACAGGCTCACAGCAGGTGTCACTGGAGACCACAGTTGAGTCTTTCCCAATAGAGACCTCCAGGTACCTTAGTCCACCAATTTCTGTTGTTGAGATAGTAGCAGTAGTAGCAATATCTGCCATCGAAGAAATACAACAGTGCCAGCACTTACCTTGTGCCAAGGACATTGTCAAGAGAGCTACCGACGTTGCCTTGTTTTATTCTCCTCGCCACCCAGTTAGGAGAACATTCCTCATCAGCCTCTTTTACAAATAGACTGAGGCCTAGGGGGGCAAAACACCTGCCAAAAGTCACACCACTTACAGATCACAAGTTGGTTTCCAGACGCAACAGTAAGGGATTCCAGAGTCAGACGTCAGGACCGCCAGTCATTTGTCTTCCCCAGACACCTATGTCTGTGATCCCCAACCTCCTTCCCACACAGCACTTTTCCAACACAGAGAACCCACGGCTCAGAGTGCTCGGGGCTGCTGAGGACGGAGAGGAGACAGGATGTGCCCAGCACACGGTGCTCCTCCTCCTCCAACATCCCTCGTCTTGATCCAAGCAACTCTTCTTGCATCTGTGTCCTATATGAGGCACCCGCAGGAGATTGGATTGGAAGAAAATTTTCCATTGTGAAGATTTTGAAAATGGCTTCCCTGGAAGTTAGAATCTAAAACCAGGAGAGAGATGTGACATAAGCAGCATCCTGTTGCCCTCTGTTCTGAGACAGGTTGCTGACCTCAACTCAGAACTCCCGTGGGGAAGGTGGGAGCCAGTCATTCCATCCCATTCTGCCTGCCTTTCACCCTCCGATAGGGCTCCCCAGTGAGCATCCTCCAGCGTTGGCTCTTGTGACTACAGCTCAAGGCAACACAACAGGAGCTCCATGTCCTGTTGCTGTACAGTGTGGGGTTGGGACTGGACTCCAAATGCTCGTTCCCCTGTGCCCACACTACACAGAAGAGCAAGGCTGGGATCAGAGGTGTGCAGAGCAGGCTCCCTCAAGGAAAGGGGCTAACGCTGCACCCATCTTGACTTCCATCCTGGGGAACACTATTCCTAATATTTATGGGCTGTCTTCCTTCCCAGGCGAGCTCAGAAGACCTGGTGCTCTGTCACCTTTCCCTCCCCATCGCCCCTAACAAACTCCATGGAGAACGAACATGCGGGTCCCAGAGTCAGGGAGTCAGCAAAGCACACAGCAGGGCGCTTTGAACTTGTCAATGCTTAGACACACTGAGATGTTGTTTTACATTTTCATGCAATTTTTAAAATTTTGTCAATGGGGTAGATCCATGATATTTTTTAATGTAAAATGATAGACTTTCCCTCCAAATATCCTGGTACAGTGAACATCAGACTGATTTCAAATATCCCCCCGTGTACCTCTGTAGACTCCCCTCCCCCACTCCCAGTGGGAGAAATATGCCTGGGAGGTATAATTTAGACTCACTTTTACTCCTCTGGCAGTTCAATGCCTTAAAAATTAAAATATGAGGCAGATGGGCCCCGTGAAACACTCCCGTTTGGCTTTACAACAAGAGCTTCAGAAACAATCAGGAACTTAGGGAGTGTGTTCCTTTACTTGGGAGAAAACTGAGACCTGCTGTGTAACGGGACGTTCTCTAGGTCACTCTGCTGGGCAGTTCACTCTGAACTAGAAGTGTTTCCCCAAAAATGTTTGCTCTTAGGGCCTTTTGAGATGCTTGGAAATAAAAGGCAATAGGTGTCTAGGATATTAGCAACCATACTATTAGGCAATGTTCTTTGTCGGAAACGAGAACTCAAGCTTTATCCTAGTGAAAACATTGTGCCTAACATTGAAAGTCCAAATTCTAGTGAGTGCAACATTAGAAACACTGTCCAAACTTAGAAGTCTGGAAACATTTCAAGCACATTTCCACTTGCAGCTTTTCTTGAGAGAGAGAGAGAAAAAAAAAAGAAGAAGAAGAAGAGAGAGGAGGGAAAAGAAAAGAAAGAGAGGCTGAGAAAGGTCAATGCCAAAGGACCCCAAATAATAAGACCAGGAGATGAGCTCACAGAACAAGGGTGACACATAAATCCCATTATTTTCTTCCATATAGAATCACAATCCTTTTGATGTCAAAACTGAAGAAATGATATATCCCAAAGCTAAGCCTCTCAGTTAAATATGTAAAGCACATGTTTGCCCAGAGCCATTGACATCAGGATAACCCTAGAATTTACGCCTTTTCTTTAATCAGTGGAGAATTATTCTAACCGTATTATGTTTGATCACTCTATATGATGGCCACATGTTCTTAAACGGATTGTGGCTCACCCTGGATTTGCATCCTCTGGTCCCACTGGATGTCAAGGCTGATTCCATACACACCCATCTGGATGGTTCTGGGCTGGAACAAAGAAGCAGCAGCATAGGGTGGAGGAGTCACTCAGGAGATGCAAAAGGATGTAGGTCATCTTTTAATCTGAAAAATAGTATAGGCGTTCTTTTTATTGTCTCTTAATTCACATAAATTATATAAGAGCACTTTAAAAAGTTGGTGAAAGATGGAATTGAAAAGATAAGCTTATTTTGGTGCCCTAGTTTTAAAGCCCATGCATTTTTTGTCATAAAAAAATTCTAAGTAAACATGTATTAGGAAAAAGATCATGCATGGATTTCAAAAATTTTTTGAACCAAAACAAACTTATGTTTTAAATCCATTTTCTATGAAGTTTTGAAAGTATTCTCCTATTATTTCATAGATCCACTTGTCCCCATTGCCTCTGTGTTTAAGCAGCATTTGTGTATTTGTTAAAAACCACCTGCCTGTTGCAGTCCGTATTCTTACAGATCCCAAACACCTGCTTGCTAAAGTGCTAGTGAGGGCTTGAATGTTAAGGAGACAAAGTCCATCTTCAGAGCGAGCACATGGTTTTTTGCTTTTTTTAATTTTTTTTTTTTTTTGACAGAGTGGACAGTGAGAGAGAGAGACAAAGAGAAAGGTCTTCCTTTTGCCGTTGGTTTACCCTCCAATGGCCGCCGCGCCAGCGTGCTGCAGCTGGTGCACTGCACGGATCCAAAGGCAGGAGCCAGGTACTTATCCTGGTCTCCCATGGGGTGCAGGGCCCAAGCACTTGGGCCATCCTCCACTGCACTCCCGGGCCACAGCAGAGAGCTGGCCTGGAAGAGGGGCAACCGGGACAGAATCCGTCGCCCCGACCGGGACTAGAACCCGGTGTGCCGGTGCTGCAAGGTGGAGGATTAGCCTATTGAGCCTCAGCGCCGGCCAGAGCGAGCACATGGTTTTAAGGAAGCACTGTCTTGTCTGTTCTGAGGATTATTAGGGTACGAATAACCATGTGTGCTTTATAAAAAATCATATTTATTTTCATTTTATTTGAAAGAGCAACAGACAGGGAGGTGGGGAGGTCTTCCATCTGTTGATTCACTCCCCAAAATGCCTGTACCAACCAGGGCTGGGCAAGGCCAAAGCTAAGAGCCTGGAACTCAATCGCACATGGATGACAGGGACCCAGGGTGTGTGTTAGCGGGAATCTGAATCAGAAGTAGAGTAGCAAGGACTTGAACCAGGTGCAAGAGTCCCAAGTAGAGACCTAAGCTGGTGTGCTGAATACCTGCCCTGTGGTGCTTCTCAATTCCTACTTTATTCTTCTATCCATATTCTTGGATCCCAAAATCCAAGCTCCCAGAAATATGCACTTATTAAAATCGTTCCAGATAACCTAGCTGCAAGAGAATCATGATAAAGGGATAGAATTTGGTGTGGTGTGCATTGTATGTCATTTAATCCTGCAAGCAAAGATACCTGGGCATTACTGTGTCCATGGATAAAATTGTTCCCCAGATAAATATATATGAATTGCCCAAAGGTACTCAGGTTGGAAGGCACAGTCCGATATTCAAACCCAAGTGTGTTCCAGATAAACAACTCACTCCAGCAGAAAACAGAAGGAAGTAGACTGAAAGCCAGTGGCCAGGGGATCACAAAGAAAAGAAAATTTCCTGCTGATGAGGAGGCCCGTGGAAGCCACCAGGGCAATGAGGGATCAACCAGCTGTTCCTAAGCAAAAGCATAACGGAGTAAAAGTCTCGCTTGAGCAGTCCCAGGTAGACCAGCTGCTCTGCAAGGGAACAGCTCATACAAGAGGTGAGCTTGGAAAGGGAGGTTGTGTCAGGTCATGAGGCTTAGAAGGCCACAGCCAGGAAGCTGGCTTGGTTCTATAGCAGCTGATGATGCTAAACCTCTGAGGAGGTAGAGGGCATGATACGATTTGCATTTCTAGAGAATCGCTCTGGAGATATCACAAACAATGGATTGCAAATGAAAAGAAAAACAAGGGGAAAACCTAGTAAAGAGATCCCTATAATAGTCAAGGCTCTATAAGATGAGTACCTGAGTTTGAAAGAAGACAAAAGGAAGGATAAATTTCTAGAATAATAACAATCGATGACATTTCCACTCCTTACTATAAGAAAATATTTTTTCTACAGGCAACCAATGCATACACATAGGTATTAGATCCGTTTTCATTAGTTTAACTAAAATATTCAAGAGAAACTTCTTGAGCATGAAAGAGTTCATTTCAGATCACGGCTGGGAGATTGCCATTCAGGATCAGGTGCCCCATTTTTGGACAAACTGAACCCCCGCCCCCCCACCCCCCACCCTCCTCTTAGTCTCCATAATTAGACTGAGTCTCCATTCTTAGCCAATCAACCATCAGCATGAAGGCATCTGCAGGACTTTTGGGGAGATAAGTCCCACTGTACCCATACAACATAGAATTTCACATTTCAACTAGAGTAAAAGTCTAATTTAGATAAGGCAGAGAGTGGAAAATTTTAAGTACTATATATTTAATAATTCTGAGATAAAGCAATGGGTATATTTCACTGGCATTTGCATGTGTGTGAATGCCCAGTCTATACTGACTGTGATACAAACCCTGGGGAAAGGGAGTTGGTGAAAACAGGTAAGATTATCCAATGCGAAGCTTGTTTCACAATAAGAATTAGGCCTGTTGCCTTCTGGTTTCTTTTTGATGTCAAAGATTCTAAGACTCCATTCATTTATTTATTCAGCACTCACAATTTCTGAAATACACAATAAGAACTAGGGGAAATCCAATTACTAATAAGACCTCAGTCAATACCTGTCCTCAAATTGGTCACAATCAAAAATGAATACATAAATTAATCACACCCAAAATACCAGGTAGAGATGACAATAAAATCCATTGTCCCACAAGGCAAAGATCTATAGGAAGTCTCACTAAACATATGTGTTTCTATATATTGATGGTTATTAGGGTATTGTATTTGAAAGAGCATATTGATGGCTATTAGGGTACCTGTGGCCCAGCGTACTTCTCTGGTCATGTTTGGAAGACAGGGATCCTTGGTGTCAGAATCATTACACACTTTCCTCTTGTTGTACAGTATAAGCACCAAAAGACCAGGAACTGGGTCAGTGCTGTGTTCTGCACTTTGCCTAACCCAGAACCCTACCCAAACTGCCAACTTGTATTTGATTTTGATAACGATAATAAGCAACAGTGCTCTGTCCCATCAGGTTCATTTCCAACAGTGGTGCCCACTCAATGTCCAAACTTCTGCACCTCCACCATTCTCACATTGGCTCTTCTGACCATGAACCCAGCTTCTCCTTGCTTTCCAGGCCTTCTACAACTACCACGTCCTGGAATTACTTCAGATGCTGGTGACAGGAGGGATATGTTCTCAGCTGGAGCAACACTTGAATAAGGATAAGCTCTCTGAGCTGCCCGACAGTTGCACTACATTCTTCTCTGGAAGATCGCGGTGTAAGCTGGGGCTTCTGTCCTTAGACCAAACCATTTTATCAGCTATTAAAGTGAGTCTACTCTTATCATAATGCAGTTTCCCATCCCTCCCCTCTCTGAGTTTCTGAAAACAGTCCAAACTAGCTGGGTTCTTAGACAGCCTATAGCACAGAAATAATAATTAATAATGTATAGAGTATTTTATAGTTCACTATATCATGTTCATAGAATGCTACAATTCACCCATACATTTTCACAGTTTATGTTCACTTTTTACAACAACCCCACGAGGTAAATAAAGCAGTTGTTATTATCCCTATCTTTCTGCAGTAAGCATCAGAGAGGCTCAATAATATGGTTTCAATGTAGTCCCCAAATTTCATGTGCTAGAAACTTAATCCTCAATGCAATAGTTTTGAAAGCCGGGATCTTCAAGAGATAATTTGGTCGTGAGGATTCAGTTCTGTTGAATGGATTAGTGTTGTTATCTTGGAAGTGGATTAGTTATTACTGGAGTTGATTCAGGATTAATGATGAGTTTGGGCCCCTTCGCTCGCGCGCGCTCTCTCTCTCTCTCTCTCATGCTTTTCTTGCCCTTCTGCCTTGATATAACAAGACCATTTAACCTTGGACTTGTCAGCCTCCAAAACTGTAAGAAATAGTTCTCTGTTTTGTATACATTACCCACTCTCAAGCATTCTGTTATAGCAGTATAACAAAGACACTCAATGACTTTGTGCCTTGATAAATACATGTATAATGATTGCAATGCTAATATTTATTGGCTATTTTCCTTGTGCCTGTCTAGTTTTTCTCACTTGGTCTAGCTAAAGACTTAAAGGGCAGGCACTGTTACTGATGACATTTAGCAGATCAAGAATCTGAAACCCAGAGAAGCAGGGACCCACTTGAGGCCACGTTGTTAGCCAGTTTCAGAGCAGGGGTCCATTTACTGAAGTCTGACACGAGGCCTTCTCACTTTCCCCAAATCTGAAATGTTAGAGAAATCTGATCAGGTCAGCTGAAATTAGGCAAAAGGATTCTGTGCTTGGCTCGAAGTGTCTGACTGGGCTAACCAGTAGAAAACGCTTGAGTTTTGTTAGCCCATAGAGCTGGGGTACAGTATATTATAGTAATGGAGAAGACAGCAATTTTGAGAAATTGCACTAGGACATCTAGGCATTTGGGAATCTGAGTAGAATCTAAACTGGAGTGAGTAACTTCTTTGTCAGCGTGGCTTCCAGTTGAGCCTCGTTTGACATTGCACCCAGCTGTTGTATGTATTGTTGGCGGAAGGTCTTTACAAGGAAACAAACTTTGTTGGTCCATAGCAACAATATCAGAAGCCCCCTCACAAGGAGCCCACTCTTCTAGGTCTCTGTGCCCAGTGCATGTCTTAACACATGCTGCCCATACAAAGGGCAAGTCCTATGTTACTTCCCCAATGACATGGCCACATTGAAGCCTTTAAGAAATGATTTTGCAGCCTCCCAAATGTCTACCTCCCAGAAAGGCCAATGACACTCAGGTAAGTGCTTGTTATTGCTGGACCTAAGTACCCAGCAGACATTGGTTTTTCTCTTCTCTCCACAGCCAAGGGAAACCTTTGGACAACTATTCTGTGGCACATTAGATAATCTGGGAATCCTGTGTGTTGGTTTATATCGTCTGATAGAGGAAGAGGAATGGAATCCGGAAAACAAAAGGGGAGTATGCCAGTTTGGAAATTCACTCACACAAGCACAGCAACCAGAATTACCTTATTCATTGTGAAAGAGAAGTCCGGAGCCTGGGGTACACAGTTGCAAGGAAGGGTACAAATGAAATTAATAATGATACAGGGTATAAACAAGAACCCCAATGCCAAAGGCAGTAGAGTCTCTGTCCCCTGTGAAAACTGAAATGTAGACCTAGATTTTAAATCCAAATTCTTTTGTAACTTACCCTTCATCCATGCCCGTGCAACCTTCTGAAGCTGAAAGCCACTGTCAACATCATTAGAAAGTCTTCCTTGTAGTCTGCTGGATTTGTTGGACTTCGCTGGACCATGGGGTGCATTTTTTTTTCCTACCCACTGCACTTTGTGCCTATAAATCATGCGAGTGATATGTTCAAATTTAAAGAAAGATCACTGTGACAGCAGCGAGGAAGACAGAGGAAATGGAGAAGAGGGTGGGAGGAGAAGAGAAGGGGCAGTCAAGAGACACACGGGTCCAAGCTAAGAATCTCACATGGAGATGGACAGCATTTAGGAGAAAAGGAGAAATTAAAATTGATAGAGTGGAAATGGACTGATGGAACTTGTTCCAGGAGAAAGGAGAAGGAAGCCAAATTACTCAAAGTGAAGTGGTCTTGAATAGGAGAAAAACACTTTTCTGCTCATAAAAGGAGACAAGGGTGCGAAGAAAAGATGCTAAGGTAGCTACGGCTCTAGGTGAGGGATGTGCTTGTGTGAGTTTTTATTTAGCACTAGGATTTCTCCGCACTTAGCCATTGCTCGGAGAGAAGATGGAAGAAATATCACAAGGAGTTGAGAGAGAGCTAAAAGTTTAGATCAAGTGCTAAAAGGAGTGGAAGAGAAGGCTTACTGGGGATTTGTGAAGCAAGGCTAGACAGTAAAGTGAAGGATCAAGGATTGGAAATCCTGATGAAGTTAAAGAGTAGATGAACTCAGAGTAAGGCAACAAGAGAGGAAGAACATTGGGAAGCTGTGGTCAAAGAGTGATTGACTGGAGCTTAAGATGGTTGAGGCGGTACAGTGTCAGTAAACCTTGACATCCAGGACGTGGCCAGGCAACCTGTTTGGGGATAAAGACCACTGGGTAGTTGACATCATAGAGACGTGTCTTGATGGTAGGGCCATAAACTGCAGAGATATTGTAGGTGCATAAGCTGACAGTGGCACTGGAGTCTGAAAGAACGTGGACCCCAAGTTCCAAATTACCCAAATAAACATGGAGCCTATAAATGACACAGAAGAATCAGGAGGGAGTTTATGGCTTTACAGAACTCACCGTGAAGACAGTGGGGGAGCAGTGATGTTCTGGAAGCAACACCAGAAAGCATGAGTAATCAATATTCTCTCTCTCTCTCTCTCTCCATATATATATATATATATATATATATATATATATATGTATGTGTGTATATATATATATATTGCTATCGCTCTCACTCTCCATTTCTCTCTTACTCTCTCTCCCTCTCTCCCTGAACTTGATACTCTGTCCTTTGCCCCCACTACCTCTGGAAAGCCTGCAGAACATGATCATTGTGAGAATATGCAACTTAAATGAGGGTACTTCAACAGGTTCATGGAAAATGTATTTTTAAAAATTGATTTATTTTGGTACAACAATTTGGAAATCCATGCCTTTTTTTTTTTTTCAAAATACCCATCTTCCATGAGCTTTATTAAGACCTCTGGTACCTGAGAAGATCTCAGTAAAGTAGCATTTCTGCTTTAAAGAGAATATGTGATTATAGTGAATCTTGCTTTTAATACAGTAGTTACAGAGGACAGAGTGGGCAAGACAAAAGTAGGTAGAGTATTCAACGCAGGAAGGTCAGTCTTGCACTGAGATCCATGTTTTAAAAAGAAGAGGTGGTCTCATGGGGCAGGAGTGAAGAAACACAGGGTGAAAATCATGCAAGAATAGCCTGTGCCAATGTTCTGAAATGGTCACTGGGGTGTTAATTAATTTAACTCACATGTATTGAGACTGTGCTGTATACTTATTATGTTAAGGCACCCAGTTTCTTTACATTCTTTCCATGCAGGTCCAATCCCTGGGTGTTATTTAAGATTCATTGACTTTCACTTTTGAAAGTGGTTGCAAAAAAAAACTCTTCTTTATTTTTTTTAAGATTTATTTATTTATTTGAAAATCAGAGTTACACAGAGAAAGAAGGAGAGGCAGAGAGAGAGAGAGAGAGAGAGAGAGAGATCTTCCATCCTCTGGTTCACTCCCCAATTGGCCACAATGGCCAGAGCTGTGCAGATCTGAAGCCAGGAGCTAGAAACTTCTTTCGGATCTCCATGTGGGTTCAGGGGCCTAAGGACTTGGGCCATCTTCTACTGCTTCCCTAGGCCATAGCAGAGAGCTGGATCTGAAGTGGAGCAGCTGGGTCTCAAGCTGGCACCTGTATGGGGATGCTGGCACTGAGGGTGGCAGCTTTACCCACTATGCCACAGCACCAGCCTGTAGCCTGCATTCTGTGTGAAAGTTGGTGGCCATTGTATTAGGTGAGCTTACAGTTAAGCTAAGAATAGCATATCTAGAATACATGTAATCTTCCAGTTTGACAGAGCATGGCTAAGTGACCAATATTGTGCCCATTAAATTCATGAGTGTGTACTAAAAACAGGTACCGCAATCTTACCCTGTCCTTCCATTACACCAATGAGGGCGGAAAGGCTCAAATAAGGGAGATGTCACAACTAGCGTCTGGATGCAGAGACAGAGAGGAAAAGCAGCCTGATAATTCCCACTCTAGGGCCTCTCCCCACCCACGGTGCCAGAGAGATTCACTATTTATGGAGAACCCACGGGCGTTCCCTGTTTCAGCCCAGCAGAATGACCTCCTGGTGTTGCCAGCACCTGTGGCTTCAGCAGCTCACAATTCATCCCTGGCTTTTCTTACAGGTTCGTGATTACCCGGCCAGCCAATGAGTTTAAGCTGCTACCCACAGACCTTGTGTTCTGTGCTATCCCTTTCAGCACGGCCTGCTATAAAAAGGACAGCAGTTCTTCAAGTGCTCCATATGAGATTATAAACATCATGCCAGTGACCTCAGAGACAAACACGGAGACAATAAAAATGGAAGCATGCTGTGCTCGTGCCCCTAGCTTAGTGCTTGAACAGCAAGCCCACACTGTTTTGGAAGAGAGGGAAGTTGTCTGATCTCCTCCCATTGGGTCTGATGTGATAAAGAAATATATAATAAACGCCTGTGTAAGGAAACTGCCTCGCTCTGTGTCCCTTCAACAGAAGCTATGTAAGTTTGAGCTGTCTTGTGAAGGTGTGCAGTACTGGCTTGATTGTTCACGTTCAGAAAGGTAAGTAGCCCAGGCAAACATGAGGACTTGGACACAGGGCATAATAAGTAAAGAGCCTCCCCCACCTGTACCCCAAACAGTCAAGAATCTTTCATTCTTTATCCCAGAACAGGCAAAGAGAAACTAGCCTGCATTTTCCACCAGCAACCACTTCGTTTTCCCCCCTCACACTTTTCCTTATTTTTCCTCTTTCAGGAGGACGGCATGAAGGCCATACAAGGATATGTTGGTGGGAATTGGAACCTAATTTGTCTATAACTAAGACCTAGATATATGCCCAGCATATGTAGTAGGTTTTTAACAATGAAGAAAATTAGAGTCTCATGGGATAAGTTGCCTGAGTGAAGTCAAGTCCACTAAAATAAGTAACCTTCCAAATTCTGTACTGCAGGAGTTGAGACATCATTGGAAAAAAATGGTTGAAAAATTTCCCCCATATTCCATGTTCCAAAGTAAGCCAATCCACTGCTCCATACACCCCATCTTCAAGTCAGCCGTTTAACCTAAGTAGTACTGGGCTAACATGAAAATCAGCACATTGGGCTGGTGCCGCGGCTCAATAGGTTAATCCGCCACCTATAGCGCCAGCACACTGGGTTCTAGTCCCGGTTGGGGTGCCAGATTCTGCCCGGGTCGCTCCTCTTCCTGTCCAGCTCTCTGCTGTGGCCCAGGAGTACTGTGGAGGATGGCCCAAGTGCTTGGGCCCTGCACCCGCATGGGAGACCAGGAGGAAGCACCTGGCTCCTGGCTTCAGATCAGCGTGGTGCACCGGCCACAGTGGCCATTGGGGGGTGAACCAATGGAAAAGGAAGACCTTTCTCTCTCTCTCACTGTCCACTCTGCCTGTCAAAAAAAAAAAAAAAAAAAAAAAAAAAAAAAGAAAAGAAAAGAAAATCAGCACATTAAGGATGCCTTTACTCCCAATTGGTGGTTTTATAACGACGTATAATAGGAGGGCTCTTCAAAAGGTTGGTGGAAATGTGCAGTAAAAAAAAAAAAAGTGCTGATTCCAAAAGCTTTTGCAGCAAAGTCAACATATTTTTTTTATTTTGTTTTCCATCAGTTTTTTGAAGTTCCCTGAAATGCATGCTAGGTAGAAAGGGTTAGTAATGAAAATAATAAAACATACTTCTCATAAATTAATTTATATAATGTTTATGATAGCCTCTACATTTTAACAACATCTTAGCTGACGTGGTATTCTTATTTCTGTTTTGCAAAAGAAGAAAGTATGTCACCAATAGTGTTGCCAGATAAAACATGCACAGTTAATTTCACTTTCAGATAAACAAGGACATTTTTAGTCCAACTATATCCAAATCATTGCACTTAGCTAAAACTGATCAGATCAACTATCAAACCTGCTCTGTTCTATTCCAGCCATTATATACACTATTCTTTCAACCATACAAATAAAATGAAAGAAATAAGGAAAACTATCCACCCATATGAAACAATGGCTAGGTTTTGATTATAATGAAATTAACTCAATCTATGGGGAAAAGAGAATAGTTTTAAGGAAAGTTGTCAGAGACTAAGGGAATTCTTTGACAGTTCCATATTTTGAAGCTTTCCTAAGTTGAATTTCTCCTTTTCCCTTTTTATATACTGACTTTTGCCACCATATACATGGTAAGATATTTCTTCCTGCAATTCTAAATTGATACATACAGTTATATGTGCTTCAAAAACAGAATCTGAATCTCAAATCCTAAGTGCTAGAAGAATGTGACAGATTTAGCTTTGCCCCCTCATTCTGACCATTAATGACTGGGAGGACTGTCCCAGTGAGTGAAGGAAGTTCCTACCCCCGGAGGACACGGCCCCAAAGTCTCCTACAGAGACAGTCTCATTCCCTTGTCCAAGCCCCCAGACGCTTTATTCATGGATTGGGTTTAGTAGAAACAAAATATTCCTGAGAAAGGACTAGTCCTCTGCATATTCAAAATCCACAAATCCCCCTGCTGTATACATATTGACCAATCAGCTTAACTCTCAACTTCTCAGTTCTTCAGAGTAAAAACTTATCCCACAAACCGATCTCATTTCCCATAAAGCAGAGCAATTGCAAGGAGAAATAATTTATTTTGCAGTAGAGGACTCGGTATCAAAAGGTTTGCTAAACAAATATTAAGGTATATGTAATGTGTAAGCATTCATATTGTCAGTTTTTACAAATAAAATTAGCAGAGTACCCTTAAACTCATGTGTCAAGCAATCCCATAATTCCAAAAGTAAACCCTTCATCTGCAGATGGAAGCATTTTCAAAATTTATTTATTCAAGAAGCAGAGAGAAAGATAGAGAGATAGACAGACTGCCTGCCTGAGCTCCCATTCATTGGTTCACTCTCCAAGTGCCCACAACAGATGATATTGCAACCAGGAGCCTATAATTAAATATGGGTTTGTGGCTGAGAGACCAAACTATTTGAACCATCACCTGCTACCTCCAAAAGTGTGCATTAGCAGAAACTGGAATTGAGAGTGAAGCCAGAACTTGAACCTTGACAACATCTTAATTATCATCTTATCTGCTAGGTCAAATGCTTACCACCATCCCACACAAGTCATCACACCAGATCCTTTGACAATGTGGTAGATACTTAACTTATAATAATTGTTCATAGAAGAGCAAATTAGCTCACAAACAATGTGTGGCCTAGTATTTGAGATGTTTTTTGATGCTTTCAAAACTGGGTGACAACTACAGATTCCATCCCAATAAAAATTCATATATCCATATATCCCATACCATTCATCATCTAAATTGGATAGAGGCCATGAGTCATCCTACAGTCTACAGTCATCTTCCCAAATACTTGCTATTGACTTAAAATAACCCTAAGCTGATCAAAGAAAGAATGTAGGGTAGGGGAAGCAGGAGGCCTGAGTACTTGCTTTGGATATCTCAATAAAGATTTTTTTTTTTACCTTGGGCAAGTTCTTCAATTTCTCTCAGCTACTTTCTTCATTCATTTTACTGTTTAAAAAAGAAGAAAGTTGAACTGAAATATTTTAAACA